TAAATTGAAAGTATAAAAAATAATTTTTCACGTAATAAGTTTTCAAAAATCAGAAGAGCAACAAATATTAATCAAATCAATATCATAAGAAATTAAGATAAAAATGTTATTTTCAAGTCAGAAGACAAGACCACTGACAATATATAAATACACAAATGTTTTATTTTAACCAAAATTTAGGTTAATTAATAAATCAATAGATGATAAACAAAAAATATAACTATGGCAGGAAAAAAAAATACTTGACAAAACCAAGACAATTTTAGTGCAGAATATTCCATAGAGCAAGAAGAATAATTAACTGTTATAATTTACTAATCTAAACACCTTTCTAAAAAGTTATAATTTATAGTCTGCTTAAAGTAAGGGTGTTCAACCTGTGGACTGCGGGCCACGTGTAGCCCCTCGACTGTTAATGTGCGGCCCGTAGAGGCTTCTGAACGCATTGAAAAATAATGAAAATATTGAATTTTATTTTGTACTATAATGGATTTGTTTTAATTTTTGGTTTTCGCCTTAACTTTATAAATTTTCTCTAATAAAAATGTTTAATTCAAATTTCTATTACTCTAGAAAATATCTATTTTTTTTTTTTTTCTTTATACCTACCCCCTTTTTATACATATTTCAATAAATTAATTATTGTGAAAGAAAGTACCTTATTTAAAAAAAAGTATAAGTTTTTTATTTTTTTATCTTTAACTAAATTCAAATAATTGAAAGTATATATTTTTCTGAAAATTTATTATTAAGTTTATGGATATAAAAAAGAACTTAGTGCTTAGAACACTAATGTTATAATATGTAAATTATCATATTTGCCTCTAACATGACTGAATATGCATGTGGCCCTTCATTAATCTACCTGATGTGCAAGTGGCCTTCATTTAAAAAGGTTGTGCACTCCTATCTTAAAGAAACATTATTTTCTCAAAACTGTTAAATTAAACTTTTATGCCAAAAATTTAATGAACTTTTTATTTCAGAATGACTTTATTCTATAAATTTTTTTAATTTGTTCCAATCATATTTTACCCTTTAGAGTACTCAAAAACTCACATTATTATGTGATTACCAAACTTAATTTTTTTTTGTATTTAACTTGATAAGAATTAATACTTTAAATAATTTAACTTAATATAATTTCAATATCTGCATACTTAAGAATGCATTTGCAGAAAAAATTAACAAAAAAAAAACAAAAAAACCTTTAACTTTTCATTATTTTAGACCATAATATAGGTACTAATTTAGTGAAAACATTATTTATTAAAATAATTTTTAAGAATTAAATTTATTTGCCACACATATAATACAAGATTGTATGAATAAGTCGATAAAAATAATAAGTCTTATAAGCAATTACATATATTTAATCCTAAATTTTATTGTTTTTCCTTAGTATTTTATTCTCTTCCATATGCTACACTTCAACTAGCATTAAAACACAAACAAGTGAATCACTAACGACAAATTGCAGAAATATGTTTCTAGAGGTGGAAGGGATAAATTACATATTCTATTCATAATTACAAATGGTGTACAAAATTTCATGATTATTAGATAATATTTGTTAATATGTTGTGAAATACATGTTTGAAAATCATTAAAAAATGGGGTGGAAAAAAAAAACCATTTGAAAAGTAAAGCTTTCAAGACAATAAAAATATGTTTTATATAATTAAAATATAAATTCCACTATTCATGTAAGTTTTTTCTAATTAAAATATTTTTTCATGTTGCTATTCAGTGAAAATTACATCATCAAATTATGTTTTTCATTTTTTCTCTTTTTTTTAAAAAATTTGAAAAAAAGGTATATATTTTATTGCTTTTAACTAACTTAAGAACTTTTGTTATTCACATTTATTCATGAAATTTTTTTCTTTTAAATTTTTTATTTTAGTTAAAATTTATATTTAAAATTAAAATTTAGTTTTTAAACTTAAATCAGCATTTCTGTACAGGTTCCCATTTTAAAAAGTTGTTACAATAAACTAAACTCATAGTGTCCACCTCTATACTGGATTATCCAGTAAACTACTGGATTCTAAAAGTTAACTCCTGATCTCCTAATTTTATTAAAAAATTCTGTTTTTTTCTTTATGTATACATTTGAAAAATTCTTTAAAATTGGGAAATTTATTGAAAAAATTTCAATCAGAATAAATATTTTACTCAGCTTATTAGTTGAGAATTTAAATAACTAAGAGCACTACTAAAAAATGATGTGAGCATAATCGAAAATAGATTTAAGAAATTTTTTTTAAAAACATTATTCCCTTGTAGTAAATTTCTTTGTGAAATTTTAAAAAAAATATTCAATTCTATATTATATGGTATTTTTCATGTTTTGTAATTAGTTGAAAAATGTAAATGTAATAAAAAAGTTAATTTATTTTATTTAGTATTTCATAAATTTAAGGATATTTTTATTTAATAGTGCAATTTATGTATGTGTTTTGTAATTATATGAAATGTTTTTGAATTAATTGAAAATTGAACTAAAAAGTTCAATTTTCAATTAATTTTTTAATTGTAATTAAAAAGTTTTAATTTAGTATATCATAAATGTAAAGATATTTTTCATCAATAGTGCAATTTATATAAGTGTTTTGTAATTAAAAATTTAATTAATTTTATTTAGCATATCATATTTTTAAAGATATTTTTAATTAATAGTGCAATTTATATATATAATATTGATAATAGGAAATCCTTAAAATTTCTGGAGAATATTTNTGTAATTATATTAAATGTTTTGTAATTAATTGAAAATTGAACTTAGAAGTTCAATTTTCAAAAAATTTTTTAATTGTAATTAAAAAGTTTTAATTCATTTAATTTAGTATATGATAAATGTAAAGTAGTGCAATTTATATGTATGTTTTGTAATTAATTGAAATGTTTTGTAATTAAAAATTTTAATTTATTTTATTTAGCATATCATATTTTTAAAGATATTTTTTATTAATAGTGCAATTTATGTATATAATATTGATAATAGGAAATCCTTAAAATTTCTGGAGAATATTTTATTGTTCCATATATAATATTTATGGTACCATAAAATATGTAATAATGTAATTTTTTTTCTTCCATATGTCATGTGATTCAGAATTACAAAAATAAGCTCCATTTTTTTTCTTTTTCTTCTTCCAACAGAGGCGTAGATGTTTTTCTCTCTGAGAAAAGGTTAAGGAAACCATTCAAGTTATTATCTAATTTTGTTATGCAGTGTGTCTGTGATTTATCTGTCGAGTTCTTTAAAACTTTACCATTGTGAAACTTATGTTGTTGAACTTTTGATACCATAACATCCTTTTTTAAAAAAAAAAAAATAATAATTTGAATTTGTTGTAGTGCAAGACCTGTTTCTTATCTAGACAACAATTTAAAAAATTGCGTACAATTAAGGTATAAATTCTAGAGCTCCTGACATCTAGGGTGATAAGTTAAACATTTATAACTATCTACTCTCATTAAAATGTTTATCTGTTGAGATTTTTTGAAACAGGTGTCTAATTGTGTAATGTGTCATATTTAAATAAAAGATAAAGTAAGTTACATTGTTAATTTATTTTTATTATTTTTAAATTTAAGTTTATTTTTACTGTTCCTTTTTTATTATATGTTGATTGTAAAGAATTTTTGTTGTTATGAATTAGTATATTTTAAAATTCAAACTATTTTTCTATTTCATGAAATGCAGAAATAATCCAAAAATATAAGAGCTCAATTTGAAGCATAATTGCTGAAAAAATGTCGTATGATGAAAGAAATCCATGATTTGAAACTATGAAGAAAATAGTGTACAAATATTATGGCAATTTTAAATGCATCTATCCATATATATATATATATGTACACACAGACACATAAGAAGTTAAAAAGCATCTCATTTTAAAGAGAAGTATAGTTTTGCAAACGTAAAAACTTAAAATAGTTTTAAATATTTTTTTTTTATATTATTGATTTTAATTTAATATTAGAAATTTCCTGATCATGTTTTTTTAAAAATTGCAATTCTTGATATTTATTTTTATTTCTTGTTAATTGTTAAATTTCTTCCCTCTTCCTAAAAAGTCTTAAGTTTTCTACCATTAAGACAACTATTTTGTAAACTTATGTTATTAATTTTTTGTTTTAAAAACATTTTTCATTTGACTAGTTTGTACTTTTTTAATGTTTTGGAAAATTAGAAAAAAAAATTATATTATTCTCATTTATCAAATGTTATATCAAACTGTGTGAAGATTTTAGGTTATTCAATTCCTACTATTTATTAATTGGCACTCTCCCTATATCTTATTCAAATTTTGAATCGTTAATAAAATACTTTTTATTCCAAAGTTGAAATACATTTTTTAAAATATATAGTGGATGACACTTGATGCTAATAAAGTTTTTTTCAAATATTAATTCATAAATTAAATTTAATTAATTTTAATTTTATATGGAAGAAAAAATTTTAATTATTTAATAAAAAGTAACTTAAAATTTTTTTCCTCTTCATTGATATAAGTAGGAATTGACTTTAAGGAATTTTTATATTACTTTTTATGTTTATTAGGTTTCTAATTGAAATCTTATCTTAGGTTAGTTACATTTACTGTTACATTAGGTTAGTTACATTACCCAGTAGTTTAAATTCTGTAGCACAGTAGCATGTGTTATTACCTTATCTGCAGATTATCTTAATTTTCTTTTAAAAAGCTTAAAAACAACTGAAAAGGAAAATAAAAAAAATCATTTTTAATTTAAGAACTTACTCTATTAACTATCAGTACTTAATTAAATTTATTTGCCAATCTGCAGCCCTGTAAATATAGAAAAATTATGATTTTCAAAAATTCCAACAAATTTTCTTGACTTAAATGAGTCTTTGAAAAATCGCTAAAATCTACTGGACCACTCATCAAAAACCTAACTTTTTCTTTATCTACTATTCATCAATTATTTTTATCAATTATTTTTTTTTATCAATTTTTGATTTCCAGGATGAAGGACCCACCAGATTGCTTCGGTTGAAAATTAAAGCTGGTCACAACTTGGCCAAAAAAGATATATTTGGAGCAAGGTATGGTGATTTTTTTTAAATGAGTGATAATTTTACTGCATGCATTGTGATTAGATAGAATTGTATTTTATAGCATACATTATTTTTATACTGCAGAGTATATACCACTACAAAAATATAATGCTAATTCACTAGTATATAAGAAATGTTAACTCGATTCTATGTTGGGGTACCTTTTCATAGATGAAGGTTGACATTGTCGAGAACTACTGTCCCCACATAGTTGACTTTCGGAAGTGATGTGAACACGCCTACCTTGGCAGAAACGCCCACTACCACTACGTTCAATGGATGGTCCACATTGAACAGTTGACTTGCTACTTGTGACTGCGACTTTGTCTTCTTAACGCTGTTGGTTCTCAGTCTCTATCACGCACAACGTATACACTCGACTGCTAAAAGTCAACACAGGCTCGACCGTGAACTTAATACAGCTCTCACGATTAGCACTCAAAAAGTATGGTGATCTTAATACAGCTCTCCCAGCTTCTCACAAAAGAGCAATGAATCAACTAGTGGTATCCCTTCATCGAATTCTATCACATTTAAAATTCTGGTGGGGGAGTACTATAGAGTATATACCACTACGTTGAAAGGTGCCCCCCTCTCCCCTATATAAGAAATGTTAACTCGATTCTATGTTGGGGTACCTTTTCATAGATGAAGGTTGATATGGTCGATAACAACTCTCCCCACAATACTATCCAATCAAGTTCCCCATTTATCATTGGGTAGGTAAGAAAGTAATTTTTAATTTTTAGTGTGAAATAAAACTCAATTTTTCATATACAAAAATGAACTTTAATCAGTCAAATACCTACCATTCTATTGGATGATCTTTTGTCATCTTTCTGATAACTATGTCTGGTTCATAGAATTTCTAGTTCTTATTAGTAAGTGTGACCTTAAGTCATCATAGTTACTAAAATTTTTACCATTTAAAATAATTTGTAAATTAAACAAAAAATCACAATCTGATGATAATTTTTTATAAAAATTGAGGGGGCTAAGCCCTCCTGGTTCCGCGGTACCTGCTGCCAATTCTCAGAGCATGTGATGAAGTAACTTCTTCCCCATTTTATAGCTCGGCCAGGAGTTGAATTGTAGGAGTAGAGGTATTTTGAAAGTTAAGCATCAAAAATGGTGATTTTGCTTAATTTTCTAGGAATTAAATTTTAATTTTTAGGTGCAAATAATGACTACTAATTTCCAACACTAGATAGGAGTCAATTCTTTGCTGTACAAAGCATTAAAACAGCATGTTTTAAAATTAAAACACTATGTTAGGAAGCATATAAATTGCGGACTGGGCTGTGTAGGGGTCAGGCAACTGGTCTTGCATCAGAAAGGTTGCGGGTTCGAATCCCGGAAAAGGCAGCTATGGGCTTTCATTCTCTGTACTGTTTGTCCTTACTGTGGGAGCAACTGAAGCCCACCTGAGATAGGGGTCAACAAATCTGCCCTAAAATTTGCCTGAATTGACGAATGTCATCCCAGGTGGGCATTGGGAAAAAATGAAGCAAGGGCATGTGAAGGAAAGGGGCTATTTCATTCTTTATTTTAGATTTGGTCGATTTTGCTACAAACTAAAATTTGAATTTTGCTAAATTTAGTGTGCCAATGCTTAGACATACAAATGTTTGCATTATTTTAAATTATGTAATTTTGTAGGGCAAAATTTGATTGAAATTGATTAAATAATTCCTCAGAGCTCATTCTAGGCAGGGTAAACAGGGCGCAGCACCCTGGTGCCCTTTTAGTCAAAAGAATTCACCCTGTTGCCCCTGAAGTAAATTAGTGTCTTGATGTAATAGACTCCATACTCTTTTTGCTCTTAACCCTTCTTTATTTTTTCACCAAACTCTACAATGGATTGCTTAAACTTTTGTTATTTTTAACTCTTTTTATTTTGTTTGTCATTGGTGTCAATACATAGATTTATATGGGAAAGGAAAAATAGCCATCCCACCCCCTTGTTGTACATGTCTTTGAAAGTTTGCAGTTACTTTCACTATCATTAAATCATAATTATTATTAATCATAATTATTATTAATCATATTATTTATTAAATCATAACTACAGACACTCAAAAATATACATTTTTTATTTTATTAATATATGCATGCATTTTAAATAAATTACTAAGCTAATTAGCTCATTAACTCTATATATATGTTAATTTATTAATAAAAATTAGTAATTAATATGATCACTTTGTTACTTTTAGTAAAGTAAAAAAAAAATTTTTTTTTTTACTAATTGACAATGTTATTTAATAGAACGTGTAAAGCCCATATAAAGAAATTATTGCCTTTTTAGAATAATAATGCCCTTTTTTTAAACTTTTCCACCCAGCCCTTTTTTTCTGCCTAGACTGAGCTCTGATGAAAAATCAAAATTTAAAAATATGACTTATTTAATACTTGTTACCTGAAGATCCGTTAAATAAGAATAAGAGTTATTAATAAGAGTTATTCAGGGTGTTCCTTATTTTGGCCGCTGTGCAAAACCAAAATACAGTAGAGAACCGATTATCCGGAGCGATCGGGACCATCGCGATTCCGGTTTACTGAATCGCTACAAAATGCCGTTTTTTTAATGTTTATAAAACAAAACTAAAAAATCATTTTGAAATAGTTTTAGAAATAATAAAAAATGATAAATAATAATACACTTAAGTTTAAATAAGGAAAGAAATCATGAAATAAAAATTATATACAGGCTTATATATGTTATTAATGTTATTATTAACATTAATAACATATATAAGCTATTTGTGCTTATGTGAGATTCGTCTACAAATGGCTTTTGATCCGTCCTCTAAATCAGCTCTTTCGTCAACTGGATACGTCGTACGCTCTAAATAACAAAATGGGCTCAAAATCTTGCAAGAAAAATAATTTTTTTTAATGGAAGAAAATTAATTTATGGTTCCGAATTTCATTCCGGTTTTCTGATTTCCGGATAAGAGGTTCTGCACTGTAGTTGCATTTTGAAAAAAATATAATATTTAATTTTTAAAATTTTAAACAACTAGATAGGGAGAATTGTTGGTTGTGGCATTATAAGCATATTTTATATGAGAAAATACTTTTAATTGAACTTTTAATTGTACTTTTCAGTGATCCCTACGTGCGTATTGATGTTGTACAGAGCGATAAGGATACAGTCATAGAAACCTTCTGCACACGTACAAAAAAACGGGTATGTCTTTCTTGTACTTACAATGCTGCTTCACATTATTTTGCATTAACCGTCAAACATCAAAAATTTGAAATTGTATCGGAAGTTGAAGTAGTAGCCGAAAGTTCGACTAATTAAATATTTTGTGTTATATTGTGTGTATGTGTGTTTATATATGCGGTCAAACGCAGCTATAGTGAAACTTCGAGGGACCAAAATTTTGGTTCAGTATAACCGGAGTTCACTATATCCATTCCTCAAAAAATTTTAACTAATGGCTAAGAACTCCTTACTTTTATTGCACATTATTTAAATAAATGACCATTAGAATGAAATGCAAAAATGACTGAAAAATAATACGTAGTGACAAAAAATGTGTTAACTTATTTTTATTTCTTATTACTCTTCGTCTTGTGTACGGAAAAAAAAATCAGTAATCTTTAGCTGATGCGATGCTGATTCAGGAAAAATTTTGTCCATGCTGATTTGGCGTTTATTTGGGGATGGGAAAGGGAGATAAAAGTAGCAAATAAGAAAAGATGCTTGTCGCTACATTCCACTCTATATATGGTTTTAAAAGTCAGTATAAGTATTTATTGTGATGTAGACATTTCAAAATTATTACCAACAAAATTTACGTACAGTATTTAAATATATGTCTATTAATGTTGTTATTTAATGGTTAAATTTTGGTCTTACTCTCGTAATTTTTGTGTATTATTATGTTGCATATAGTGTTCCTAATTTTTTATTCCTAAGGTTGGCAGCTATGCTAATATTTAGTACAGTTATTAGAATAAATTTCCTAGTTACATGTTATTTTATTACGTTATAATAGTTTTAGTCTTTAGTACATCTATTTTGTTAATTGTGCAGCTCAGCATTAAACAAAAGAATAGTTTCGAATTTCGGTCTTATGCCTGAAAACTGAAAAATGAATTTTAAGTACTGAGGGCTTCAAAACTATATATATATATAATGTAATAGTAATTGCATGTTTCAGTGAAAGAAGGAGCTAAAATGGAAATTGATTTCATACATAATAAGATGATTGTTGAGTGTTTTTTTTTATTAAATTGATTGTACTCATATTTTTATTTTCTCAGATTTAAGAAATAAGCATGTGTGATAAATTTAAATTTTGCACATTTTTATTTATAACTATTTAATATTTCCTCTACCGAAATTTGGGTTTTCGACTGTAATTGTCAAAACAGAAGGAGTTTAATATCAAAATAATTCGAAAATATTATTGATTGATCACTTGTAATTTTGTATGTATGTTTATTTATAAATACTTCCTATTTATAATAGCTTCACTGAAAATTTTGTCAAAAACTATGTTAAAATGGTTTTTGACTGACATTCAAATTTCTTGATAAAACTGTCAATTGTCAAAAGTTTGCCCACCCTTTATCTAGTTCATTTTCACTATTTCCAATAATTTCACTATCTGACTCACTGGTATTGGAGGGCATTTCCTTAGGAGTGGTTAAATCATTACCAGTGTTATACATATTAAATTCGTATAGTTTGTCTGAAGTAAGAACTCCCATGGACATTTGTCTGGACCCTTGGTGGTGACTATGGTAACGAGATATAACTATTTCAAGTAGGAGTGTGGGGTCACTGTTTAGGACTGGTTTTGGCTCAGATGCATTAGAGAAAGGGAATCATTTTCTTCGTGTTGCCCTAGAGTGAAGAAAAGCTGTTCTCCCTGAAATGCGCTATTCTTGTTTTCACAGCAGCACATGGCCTCAAACTATGTGGCGGGAGGAGTTCTTACAGCAGACAAACTATAGCTTTTGCTCCTTTTTAAGGGCATTCAAAATTTTTAAAAAAAATCTCTATTATTGAATGTTAGATTTAAGAGAAAATATGTTCCAATATTTTAATTAATATACTATTTTAATCCTAAGCATAATAATCGAATAACATAAAATTTCGTTGGAAGAACATTTTTTAAGGTTTGATAAATGATGATAGGCCAAAAAACGCATTTTTTTTCAATGTAGTCTTAAAAAACATTCCAAACTTAAGTTATTGAAGAGTTGTGATAGGAATATAAAAATTTGAAAAATAATAGATGAGGTTACTCTCAAAACTTATTCTTAATCTATTTCCACAGTTATGGTATTGTCATAAATAATAAATGAAAGATTTAGGATTTTTTATTTGATAAAGGTTAGGTGTTTGTGTATTGCACTATTTATTTATTTATGTTTCTACCACTACAAAAATACAATTCCAATCAAGGTTGGCAAGTTTCTGTCGAGGTTGTTAAAACCACTGGTAGAAACCTGTTAAAACTGGCATGGCAGAAATTCAGAAAATGACCTAAAAGTAAATACTGAAATTGACAAACAATGGATAATTCATAGAAAAAACAATTAAATGTTAAAGTGCAATTTATTTATAAAATTATCACCATTCAAAATCATATATATCATTGTTTGCACTCTGCAATAATCTGTAACAAAAGACAAGTTTTGATGCAGTTTCTAAACCTAAACAATATCTCAAATCCAGCAGAACTAGCAGGCATTGCCATCAAGGAGCATGCAAGATTTGTGAAACTTGCATAGTCTATTGCATATTTTTTAAAACTGGACCACCAAGTAGCAGCTGGGGTAGTTGTCAAAACTTGACTGGAAAAATAAGTTTCAGGAAATGGGGCTGATTTGTTTTGCAAAGCTATGACATAAGGTACAAAACCTGGGTTGATATTGGCGAGTAAAATTCTGGCACTTTCTCCTTGAGCACATGATAATTTCAATCCCAAATACTTCGGATGCAGCATATAAGATAGCAAATGATAATCAGTAACTGCCTGTTTAAATCTGTATGTCACTTCTTTTTCATAAACAGCCATATGATTCTCTTTACTTAATTCATTTTTCAGTTTACTTAAACAAAATGTCATTAAGCAATTACTAGAAATAATATAGAAGTTTTTTTAGTTTCTGACAGTTTTTGCCGGTTTTTATCGGTTATAACCAGTTTCTGCCGGCAAAAAGCCAACCCTGATTCCAATTCACTAGTATATAAGACAAATTAACTTGATTCTATGTTGGATTTCATAGATGAAGGTTGACATTGTCGTTATCTACTATCCCCACAGTCTATTACGATTATAAGTCTATTTACTATACTTATAAAGATTAAAAACTTTATGTGAATATAAATAATGCCTTTTTAATTTCATTATTTTTTTTATCTGATTAATTTTAAAAGTCCTATTTTTTTTTTCAGACTTTGAATCCTGTGTGGGATGAAGAATTTATTTTCAAGGTAAATTTTAAACTCTTTTTTTTGAAAGCTGTAAAATTCTTTTTATTTCAACAAAAGTGAAATAAAAAGGATTTTATTTCACTTTCACTTCATCCTTTTTATTTTTACTATTATGATTTATCTGTTATTATTAAACTTCAGAGGTCTGTCTATGGGAGAGGTACCTATTTTGTGAAAATTAAAAAATCAACACAAAAATATGGTAAAGTAAGGCAATATTTTCAAATATTGTCATTACAAATGAAAATCATTTATGACTGGTAAATTTTTATATATTTTTCCTCATATATTCGAAAAAAATAATTTTGCTATTGTAAAATTTTGGCCTTAAAATTGTATCCAAATTTAAAAATCATTGTTCATAGTTAAATTTCAACTTTAATTTGCAAGCATTTAACAGTACTAGCACTAAAAGTTATTTTCATTATGAGACCATTTTCAACTAGATCATACAAAAAAAAATTCCGCTGAGTGAAAATGGTTTCATAAAAAATAAAGGTCTGTTAGAATAAATTTACAATAGTGTTTAAGATAATCTTTGAATGTTTGGAATAACGTTTGAATTTCGACTTCCTGTACAGTTTATAGAGGGAGAGCCTTGTTGTTTCATTTTGAAAAAACTCAGCGGAAAAAAAAGAAGATTGCTTTAATATGGCATAAGCGACGTTTTAGGCTTACCACATTGCAGTACCTGGCCAAACACGTGCTATCTTTTCGTAAAAAACAGCTGTCAAAAAAGCTCCTCTTTTCCATATCAAACCACATGATTTGTATGAAAAGTATTTTGTGAAACTATTTTTTTTCCTAAAGTCGAATTTTTGAACGTACCGCCGAACGGTAGTAAAGTTACCCTGGAAAGACCCCTGAACTTTCACAATCAATTACGGTTGATTAATAAAAATTATGGTCTTAGAGAATTTTTGTTATCTGTTTGCAACAAATTTATGATAGATTTGTTATTCTACTCAATTCCACACACAATTGATAAGTTTGTTTTTCTTAATCAATTCCACACACAATAAACTAACAAAAATAATTTTAAAGAAGATGAAAAATCTTATTTTTTCCTCTTCCAACAAGTTTTTCTGAAACTTAATCTTCTCTCGAACTTATTCTAGAGGAGCAGAAGAGCTTGAATTGAAATCTGAAACATAAACAAAATTTTTTGTGGTTCAAATGCAGGATGATACAAAAGCAATCTTTGCTAGTTCTCATTTAACCTTGCCCTGCAAAAAAAAAATATCAATTTTATTTCATATAACAATTTTCAACTAACAATTTTATTTCATATAAAAAAGATTCAATATTCTTTTGAAGTTGGTATAAAATTAATTTTTTAAAAGTTTTTGCTAAACGTTAAAGAGATAAATTTGGAATTAACCAAATTTAATATATTTAAACTTTTTTTCCCTTCAATTTTTTGTTTTAATTTATTGAGTATATTATTATTTTGAAATATGTTTTATAGTAAGAGGGAAAGATAATCCATCATATAAATTTATCCTTTAAATACACTGGTTGACAAAATTAAGAGATGGAACACATTTTCCCAAATATCTCAAAAAATACTGAATATAAATAAATGAAATTTGGTATGGATATAGCTTATTCCATGATAATAAAGTATGCAAAACAAAAATGAAAGTGCCATTCACTGGCAAGACCTATTGCCAATAAATCCAATGTAGTCTGAACTTGAGGATGAAAGATGACAATAAAAGTGAGGCTTGTACAGTGTTTGTTGCCTCTAGTATGGTGTATGGTCACCCCTGACACAGACAGCATGCACAACGAGTATGCATGCTGTTAATAAGGGAGTTCAGGAGGACTTGTGGAAGACCCTCCCATTCTTCCACCCGAGCAATTTTTAACTCCAGAATGGTTCTGGGGGGAGGTTGGCGCAGCGCGATAGCTCTCCCAAGAGCATCCCAAGCATGCTCAATAGGATTCAGGTCAGGGGATTTGGCTGGCCAATCCATTCGTTGAATATCCTCGATTTCCAGATACTCATCAACCATGGTCGCGCATTGTTGTCCATAAAAATGAACTCAGGGCCAACAACGCCCCTGAAAAGACGCACATAATGCTCTAGGACCTCCTGCCTGTACCTCTGGGCATTTACGGAACCATTGTCAAACACATGGAGCGGTGTGCGGGTATCTTGCATGATCTCTGCCCAAACCATGAGTCCTCCACCAGCATAATAGTCCCTTTCGATAATGTTGCTGGGATGGTATCGGGTTCCAGGTTCCCTCCATATCAATAACCGTCCAGAAATTGCGTCATAGAAATGTGCAAAAATGCTTTCCATCTCTTAATTTTGTCCACCAGTGTATTATAAATTTTGGAGGAATGATGACTGTTATTAAATTTTTCCTTCTTGATTTTAATATCCTTGTTTGTTTATTTTAAGAATTTACAGATAATATTAATGTTTGTTTGTTTTCTTTTTTTGCTGTGCATCTAAAATATGTCAAATGTAATATATTTATATAAAGTTTTATCTCAAATTTTTCCTTGTTCTTTAGATTTAACATAAATATTAAACAAAATGTAAAAATAATTTATTTTCTATAAAACTACTTTATTATTGCTCCTTATGTACCTAAATTCAGAAAGTGATATAATATTGGAACATTTTAAAATTGTTATAATTAGTATTTCTTTTAAAAAAATTTATATTTATTTTGATTTTTACTGTTTTTCAAATTTTGTTGTCTTCATTCCATTTTGAATTCTATGTTTCACATTTGAAGTGCTATAGGTCAAGCTGAAACAAAATCAAAACTCTTCAAGCTTTTCTATTCATAAAATACTATTAACTTTAGCAGCGGGTGTTGAGATTCATATTCCAAAATTTAAATAGTAATTTAATTATATTAAATACTATTAAACAAATTTTGAAGCATTAATTTACTTTATACAAAATTCTCCCATATTTTCCAAATTAGTGTTTAGTTTTTATGTTCCAGAATTTTGAGAAAAATTAATAATTTTATATTTTTAATGCTTTATGCCTGAATTATTGTTAATGCAAATTGTATAAATTAATATTACAATGTAATATTACAATGTAATATTAATATAATGTATACTAATTGTAAATTTATTTGTTATTAAATATTATATTAATTATAATAGTTTATGCCATTAATTTCCTTAATTTTTTCTGTTTTTCTCTTTTTACTTTATTTTTAAATATGTTTGACACACTTAGATAATATTAAACACTTTCTGCAAATGCAAAATCTCAATTAAGAACTCTCTGCCTGCATTGAGTAACTCTTGTAACTATATCCGACCCTCATTTTGCCGAAATTTGAAGTTTGATCAAAATAAAATGAATAAATCTCTTAAATTGAAGCAATTAAATGCTTCTTTCAAAGTTTTACGTATGTTGTTTTATAGAACTTCATATTATAATACAGAAGGGACCCGATTATCCGGAACGATCGGGACCATCGCTATTCCGGATAACTGATTTTTCCGGATTTCTGAATCGCTACAAAAAGCCGTTTTTTTTATTGTTAAACCCAACTAAAAAAGAAAAAAAAGATTTGGAAATAATCTTAAAAGGAAGAAAAAACGATGAAGTAATACACTAATGATTATTTACAAAATGATGGTAAGGTAAACATCTTTCAAAAAGGAAAGAAAAATCCTAAAATCTTATGAGGAAAAAAAATTTTTTTTTTTTAAATAGCGGGAAAATTTATCGAATTTCGTTCCGGTTTTCTGATTTCCGGATGACGGGTTCTGTACTGTAGTATAAAAACCTACTGAAGTGTCATATTCCAACTTTATACATACATTTAAATTAACAAACCGCCAGATAATCACACCTGGAATTACTGATAGATATTGTTTTCAGAATTACAAATAATGTACATATTGAATAATGTTGAGTGTGAATACTCAATATGAATCTTAGATAATATGTTAGAGGTATTTTAGGTAGATATTAATTTAGATTTTATTTTTTTAAATCAGTTTTACTATATTAAAAATAAAATTAATATCTATTTCACTAAAAATACATTAATGTTAAAACGGAAAGAAAGAAAATAGCAAAAAATGTAGCTTGTGTAAAGAATAAGTTTAACTAAGCAATTTTAGAGAAAAAAAAATCTTTAACACAGAAAATTAAAAATATATATATTATAAATTATGTGAAATATATGTATATAAAAATTAAAAATATTTTTTTAATATTTTAATCATAAATATTAAACTAGTTAGTAGTAAATTTTTTATGATTGCATTAGAATTTAATTAGGTTTTATAAATAGCCTTCCGAGTTTCGCAGTTGAATACATAAATTGAAATTCATTTTTTTTTCTTCATACTAAATAAAATTAAAGTTTGAAGAAGAACATTTTGAGGGTAAAGTACTTTAAAAAGTAATTCAATCTATAAATTATTTATTTTTTAATGTTTTTTTTTCTACTATTATTATAAGTTTATTTCTACTATTATTCTAAATTTAAGGCCTAAAACTAAAAGTAGATTTCTTTTCTTAAATAAAGTAATTCTGTATCTTTCCATTATTACATAACTTTTCTGAAAAACATATTGAAAACAGTGGTAACTTTATCATTATGCAATTATTAATCAGTGAATGAGTTATATTTATTTACATAATAAGCTCAACCTGAAACAGTTTCCAGTTAAAATTTGCAATAAAATTTTCAAAATTATTATCTCGAATTAACTTTACACAACATTGCTAAACAATCTGTTTAATAAAAAAACATTTAAATAATTTTATAGTAAATGAAATATGCAAAAATTTAAATTTTACTTTTAAATAAATAATTAAAGATTTTTACTTAACAATCTGTTTGTTGTTAAAAAATAATGACCAACAATCTTAAACTTCCCCCTAACTAAAACTAAAAATGGTTGCATTTCTACAAAACATGAGACAAAGAATACTAAACATTTAACTTATATGTTAGAAGCAAGTCATGTAAAATTCTGCAAATCCTAAGAAAACCCGAAATAACCTGGGTTTTTCAAACACAACCCTGATAAATTGTTTAAGTTATTTATTAATTATTTTAATATTTATTGCATATTTATAAATTACTCAGTCGCCAACTCTTGTAATTGTTTCTCATTCATCATTGTATTTTATTCCCTAAACACCAATATTTACTACAAAAGATTGAATATTTTGTTTTCAAAATAAACAGTAATTTTGTTAACATATCAATGGTAAAGATTACCTTGATTTGAAATGTAATCATTTGAACTCGATGAAAAAATTTAACCTAAAGAGCAGAGAAAGTGTTATTCATCATCATCATAGTTGACCAGACAGCCTAATGTGAGCCAATGCCTTCCTCTGAAAATTTCTCCAGGACGACTTCCTTAAAAAAAATGCTCCTTTAAAAAAATGCCTGTCAGCAATTTTACATTATGTAGTATCTGTTATTTTTAGCACTAGAGCTGAATCATACTTATTTTTAATTGCAGGGGTCTGTCCAGACATTTTGTAAAAGGTCCGTTTTTGTAAAATTGTGAAAAAATTACTCATAATTTGTGAATATAAAATAAATGTTAAGTCACATTCTTTCAACCAGGGTTCGCTTTTGTGAATTTGTGCAATTATTGCAAAAAAACTTTTTCAAGGAGTTTATAAATTGTAAAAACATACAAGATTATGCTCAACACTGTAAAATTTTAATTAAAAAAATTAAATTTTAAAAAATAAACAGCAATTGCAGCTACTAAATTAGTAATGCAACATACAAATATTTGGTATTTAGCCTATACTGCTGAACGCTGAATATTCATTTCGGACGAATAAAGGAAAAAGCGTCTGTCGAAGACAAAATTTAGTTCGTTTACATCTGTCTTTTTCCCCCCCTTCCTGGGAAGGGTTTATTTGATTAACAAAACAATAATGAAGATAAACAAATTTGTGAAGGGTCCGACTAAAAGATAAATTATTTTGTGAAGGATCCGTTTTTAAGTTAAAATATTTTGTGAAGGATCCGTTTTAATAAAAAGATATTTTGTGAAGGGTCTGTTAACGGACCCAAATTTCTTCTAAATAGACCCCTGAATTGACTTCTTATTACGTATTATTTTTCAATTGCAACTAATAATTTTTTTACTATTTCATGTCTTGGTTTTAAAATTAGTTATTACTTCTGATAAATCATTAATTTTTGCACATGAATTCCGGTTAAGCACATGTGTTAAGTATTCTTGTTAAGCACATGTGTTTCCAGATTCATCTGTTTAAGTAGTTGGTTATTTTTAGTTCAAAACTTCATTTTATTCTGTTGAGTAATTCTATTGTTTCTGATTACTTGGTTTGATTTAAAGTTTAGTCTTGACTTCATCCTCCTACCTAAATTGACTCCTATCCGTATGCTTATTGATTATATTTAAGTGAAACAACATTTTTCTATTAATTCTTGTCAATGCTTTAAAGTTAGTTATTAGTTTCAATGATTTATACATATGAATTCTGTTAAGCTAATATGTGCAACACACATAAGCTTATAGGAATTATGTGGTTTATAATTTTTCTCAAATGTAACATAGGTTTTTTTTTTTTTTAAATTTTATAATTACTATAATTAGGTATACTATATAGTTTAAACTGATTATTTATTAATTTATTTTAAAAAGTTTGGGTTAGAGTTTATGGGTAACAAGTTACTTAATCCATCTACTCATTTAACCATTTTATTTATTGTTTTTTTCAATTTAGTAATAAATAAATTGCACTTTTTTACTAAAGGTATTATTTACCTAACTTTAACTCTTAAACATAATAATAAATTTTGTATAGTCTAAAATATTTTTAAAGTAAATGTACAGAGGAATGTTTAACAGTGATTAAGCTTTCTTTTTTCAAATTTTACTCAATATAATATTTGAGTGAAATAATAAAAAAGAAATGCAGTATTTGTTTTAAAGAAAAAAGCGGTAGGGGATGACAAAAAATTATTTTATGCTTCTGAGTGTTTTGCTGTTTATAGCAGGGTTGCTATAACAGTTACTCAAATTGCTCCAAAATGAAATTTCTGCTCCAGCCTACTCCAAAATGCCATTTCCCTCCAAACTTGCTCTAACCTGCTCCAAAACTCTAATGCTATTCATTTAATTTAAACTCTATTTATATTTTTAGTGCTATTTATATTTAGTTTTCATATTCCTTTAAAAAAATTAATTCAATGTTAAGGTAATTTCATTCTATGTTAATAGGTTCAATTCTGATTATTAATACAAATACATTGTTTGGATTGTTCTCAATGAGCTAAATTAGTTTTTTTTTTCGGTGAGGGGGATATTAAGTAAATTTTTAGTGATTTTAAATTTTACAAGTACTTTTTTTAAATGAATACCTTTTATTTAAAAATTCACCTTTAAATGTTCATTTTCGTATAATTTTTCAGTTAAAAAAATATATTAAAAAGCTTTCAAGTTGTTTATCAATTAATAAATTTTTTAGTTCACTTTTTTGAAGAAAAAAATTTATGCATAGAGATTATCTTTTAGTATGTTTTAATAATTTTTCAAATCTTTAAATTTTTCTGTTATTTTGAGTGCAATCTATAGGATATTTAAGGATGATATTTCAGCTATATTTAACTAGTTAATTTGCTATATTACTATTTTCTTAAGTTTTTTCAGCAATTATAACTAGTATAGTTAGCCCAATATAGCTCATACAAGAGCAAAGTGATTGTGTTTTTCTTCTTAATATATTCTGTATAATATGTACAGGCAATTTTTGTTTCCACATTTGAGTGGTAACCCTGTTATATTAGAAATTGATCCTGTGCAGTTTAAAAATATTTAAAAGTTATTTATTTTAGCTACATTCAAGGTTTTAAATTTGCAACACTTGAAATGCACAGACAAGTCAAAATTTCGATTGGGCATGTGTATCCGTGCCTTCACATACATGGCTGGGCATATTATACTTGAGCAAAAAAATTTTATAAAAGGAGGAAAAAAAATCAGAAAATTTTTTATTAAGAATTATTTAAATCAGATATACAAAATTATTAAAAAACTATTTAAATATTATCATTGAAAATTAACTGTACTGATTTCTCTCATGTCCTTTTAATTTCAACAGTATAAAGTATTTATTGTTGATTTTTTTTCTAATATACTGTTTAAATTTATCAAAATTATTTGTCTTGTATACGTTATAATAAAAATCTAATTATTAGTTTTTGAATGTATTTCAGGAATGTTCGCATTAGGAAAGAATATTTTTTAATAAAAACAAAATATGTAATGTTTTGAGTAAATTGTATAAATGTAAGTGTACAAAACATATATAAGTATGTTTGTAAATATTCTTTTTTGTGAATATTTCTAAAATTTAAAAGAATGATTCTTATTTATAATCTTGTTTATTTTAGGTCAACCCCAACAATACTTTAAAAATTGAAGTCTTTGATGAAAATAGATTAGTAAGTATGACATTTTGTATTCAATATTCATAAAGTCACCATGGCCGAGCTTTTCGAGCTATCAGCTATCTGTGACAAAACTTTCTAGCACTAATATCTTTCAGTGAGATACTTTTAATAATGACAAATATATATGTATATATATATGTACAAATATATATGTATGTAAATAAATTGTATTAAAATTTTTTTAATAGAATATGCAATATTTGTTTTATTATAATACTATGGATTATTTTGCTTGTAGGAGAAAAACTCACTAATTATTTCCTTTTTCACATTTTGTTAATCATCATCACATTAAAAAAGAAAAACTAAGTAAAAATTAAGATATCCGTTGCAGTAAATACCAATAAAACAAAAAGATGGACAACAAAATCGAATCTGTTTAATAAGAGGTTACTCAAATGCATGTTTTGTTTCGAGATACGGCTTTTGTAATAAACATCATATTAAGAATACCGAACTTTAAAAAACATGCAAATATCAATAATCTGTTGCAGTAACTACCGAAAAAAAGATTGACGACAAAATCACAGGAATCGGACTTTTTAATAAGATATTACTCAAATGCATGTTTTGTTTTGAGATTCAGTTTTTGTAATAAATATATTTAGAATATCGGACTTTAAAAGCTGCACGAAAATCAATATCAATAACTGTCAAACTATGGATTTATGAAACCAAAATTTTTTACTTTCCAAAAGAAAAAATTTTCTGATAAACTATGTAACTTTCTGCAACAATGTTGCTGTGTCGCCGCAATTCTGCCATGGGGGCATTAGCCTATATTTTTACTTATATATACAGGGCTTAATCCAGGGCGATTTTGGTACCGTTTTTCGGTACCTTCACAAAATTAAAAAAAAATAAATCGGTACCTTCACAAAAAAAACGCATCTTCACGAATATAAAAAAAAAAGTTAGAAGGAATTAAAGTTCTGAATAGTTTTCCGAGCGGTTCACGGAAAAGTGGATTCACAGTGAACGCCGTATGGTACGCCATCGGACGGCATTCCGCGCAACCACACTAGCTCAAAAACAGGCTTGATATGCTGACGTCACTTCTCCTAAATACGCCATTCAATCGGAGTGAGTGGTAAAGTTTTTATACTTGGCAACCGGCTAAATTGAGCCAGCGCGTAAACAACTCAACTCATTTTCCCAGGCGACAAGTGTTTTTGTTATGATTTAGCTCAAAATGTGTTCCATTCGTTTTTTATAATGAAGCGAGGAAGGAATTTAAGTGGAGCGGGTGGCTCACGAAATAGCGATTACTACATGAAGCGTTTATGCACGATCGATAGCATAGGAACGCAATCAATAAAAACATTTTTTCCGTCTGAAAAAACTGAGGAGAAACTGTCACAACAGTCGCCGTNCACAGTATGTTTTTTATAGTATTGTACTTTTTGTATACATATGTAGTTTTTTTTTAGCAATACTTAATTTTCACAAAAATAAAAAAAAAATTCACAAAAATAGGTACTAGGATTGAAAACCTGGATTAAGCCCTGATATATCATAAGGTTTTAAGTTTAAACCTATATTGATATTATAGCAACCTGTTTTTAAAATTTTGATTTATCTAGTGTAAATACATATATATTTTATGTAGCATTTCTTTTTATACATTTCAGTCTTTATTTGTTATTCTTTGTTTAGTTTTTAACATTTTTCACTTGTGATTGTATTTAATTAATTTATTTTTCTTCTTTTTTTGTATGATTTGTTTGTTCTAAAATTTTTAAGAAATATTATTTTAAGTTATTTAAGAATTCTAAGAAGCAATGTGAAACATCACATTTTTATGTAATCATGTGACAAAAATATAATCATAATCTTAAAAAATTAATAATAAATACATTTTGAAGGATTGGTCCGTCATGCTAATGCATTAAGAGTGTGTGTTAGCACTTGGTAAAGTTAAGCTTTCGGCATCGCAATGCATCGTCACTCTATCATCGCAATATTTCAATACATCACGCTGTTTCCTTATACTAATATTTTGCATTCGGTATTGTATAATGTCGAATTCTTTTACTTTTTGATTAATAAATTGAGGCAATTATATTCTTGTAGTTAACTCAATCCTTAGTTATCTTACAAAAAGTGCTATAACAGGGTTCCCACGGCCCTTAAAAGTCCTTAAAAACTGCTTAATTTTTATTTTGGAAAATAAGAGCCCTTAAAAGTACTTAATTTTGGTATAAGGTTTTTAAAAGTTCTTAATTTTTTAGCATCACTAAGGATAAGTAGAATGTTACATAAAAATTTAAATCTACTCAACTAAAAGATCCTTAGATTTTAATGATAATTTTATTCAGTTAACATTGCAACTTAATATACTGTTTTTTAATTTTTGTTCAATTTTAAAATTATGTTTTTCACCAGAATGTTTAGTAACATTATGTAAAGTTAATTCATAATAACATGTTTGGCTGGAAATAATTTGTTAAAGTTCATCATAAAAGTAATTATAACACGTTTGCTGCTCTAGTAGCGAGATATAAAAACTTCCTGTAATAATTTTTCAATGTTTTTGCCAATTTTCTTTATTTACTTTTTTTTTTAGTATAAACGAAAAAAATTGCAAATCTTAATTTCTGCACACTTAATTTTACAATTCAATTTCAATGAAATCATTAAAAATGGAATACAGATTAGTTTCATATGTTAACTTTTATAATCTAAATGACATTAACTTTTAACAATCTGAAATTTTTTTCTTCAAAAAAAAAAAACCGACCCGGGTTTGCCAAAATTAGCCTGGTACTTTTTTGCCGAGCCCTGTTAATGAATACAATTATATCAGTGTGTACATTATAATAAAATTATTTATTATTAATGTTTTTTTATTGATGTTTTTAGAAGGGTAAATAATTGGCACTGTCACTGCTTGCTTAAGTCCTTAATTTTTCAAAAAGTGCTTAATTTTTTCAATAAAAAGTCCTTAAAAGTGCTTAATTTTTACTTTGTTAAAAGAGTGGGAACCCTGTATAAATTTCTCTAGTTATCAAAGAATTGTATGTAAAAAAAAAATAAATCACAGCAGTGACATGATACATTGAAAATAAAAAATTTAACAGTTACGATTCAACGTTTTACTTGTACTTTTATTTATGCAAGAATGCTCAGTTGTGTTGAATGAAGCCGAATTTTGATGCTTAAAGCGTTGAGATTTCTCAGTAATCTTTATATTTGCTTGAATGTGCCATTCCCTGTACCTACACGGATTATACATGCCTCTTTTATGAGTAGCCTATAATGTCTTTGTATTTCATTTAATCGACAATTGATAAAAAATAAAAATCCCAACCAGCAAAACTGTTCTTCCATAAACAGTTTGAATTTGCATTCAGGTTGTCTGGTTATCAGAGCAAGAGAGCATTTACAGAGAATCAAAATTGTAATGACATGTCTTAGAATTATCCTCTGAAATGTTTCCCTAACTGTTGTGAATAGCTTATTGTGCTACTCTAGTGCAGTGTAAATAAAGTAGAAAAAGCGTGGTCCCCGAACACTCTAAACAAGTCCAACTTTTTTTCTCCTCTTTAAATATGATCCATATGAAGTTATGAATGATAATAATATATTTTTTTACCTCAAGTATCAGGGAATAATTTGTTTCAGTATAGGTGTTATTTTGCTGTTGCTACTTAAGAAATTTTAAATAGTGCAATTTTATTCATTTTACCCATCATATTGGATCTATATGTGATTCAGTGATCATACTTTTTCTACAATATCGCATCTTAGATCTCGATTACGTAGTATCGAATTATCAATTCTTATCAAACATTTTTATAGACTTGATAAATTTCCTTTCAAAATGGGTCGGAGTTTTGGACATCCTAAACTGGTTTAGGACAGGATATTTGGGTTTTACTGTCCTAAAATGACTGAAACTGTCTTAAAGTGTCCAAAACTTTTAAAATTGGTAAAAGATAAACATTTTATATGTATAACCATTGTACACATAATAATTACATATATTAATAAATACTTGATACATTTCATACAATTTGCTTTAACTTATTAAAGAAAAATAATATAATAAGAAAAGATTTATAACTTACGAAGCTTCACAATTCATTGAACAACAAAAAATATGAATAAATATGCTCTTTATACTGATAAATTATTTTTTTGCATAAGGATAAATAATGCAATGTTTAAAATAATGATAAACTGTTTTTAATAAAACAAAAACTTGTCTTCATTTTGTTTCTTGTTCAAAAATTAACCTAATATTTTTTTCCAATATTTCTTTAAAAATTGTGATAGAATTTGTATAAAAGAATTTTGGAGAGAGGGGTTTTTGCACAGGACAGTTTAAACCATAGATTAATCCATTCTGTCCTAAACCTCTGTGTCAAATATGCATGGATATTGCGTAAAGATATTAAAATAAATTGTTTTTTTGTAGACTCGGGATGATTTCCTGGGATTGGTAGAACTCCCGCTTAAATACATTCCAAGTGAAAGACCTGGCCGGACCATCACCACAAAGTTTTACATATTGAGGCCTAGAAGGTAACTATATTCTTCATAGGATTCTAAGACTATGCAGTCAATAATTATTCCTCAGGGGAATGAGAGTTATTTTGCTGTTATTATCAGGCTAAGCTTTAGTTGAATGAATCTTTAATTGTGTTTTGAAAATATGAATCCAGACTGTTTAGTTTCTTATCAGTGACGATCTTTGCAATTGATAAATGGTGTTCATAATTAAAGACAATTCTTTTTTAAATAGTTAAAATAGTAATTATCATTAAAATCATAGTTCATTGTATAGTTTGTCTAAGCTGAGAACTCCTCCATCCACAATGTCTGAGGCCGTCTGATGCTATGGACAGGGTATCCGCACACCTGGAAAGTCATGAAAAATCATGGAAAGTCATGAATTTCGGTATTGAACAAAATTTGTCAAGAAATTTCATGATTTTTACTGTATTTTTTTTTAAAAAAAAATCATGGAAAGTCATGGATTTAGGTCTCTGAAAAATCTAATTTTTAAAATAGAATCTCCCTCCCCCCAATTTCATCTTGTTCCAAATATCTGAATTTCTAACAAAATCATATTTTATTTGAATATAAAATGATTTTATCATGTTCTTTAAAAATTATGGTGCTCTTTCAAAAAATGAAAGAAAAAATATAATTTCTAGAGTGAATTATCCTTTAAAATCTCTTCTGTGATTTACGAATTTTTTTTATTTTTATTTTTTTTAATTTTATCAATTTAAAATTCTAGTTGAAGCAAACCAGTTATTGGCGAATTTTTTTAATTCCGAAATGAACAGAAAAATCAGGAGTATTTCTTTCCTTTCTGATGAACAAGAAAAGTATATAATTCTGCAGAAAAAAAATTTTTTTGCTTTTGTATTTTTTTCAGCTATTTTATTGTTTCAACTCTTTCTTTACTCTGTTTTTTAAATTTAAAATCTAAATATGAAGATGCAGAGTATAGCAGTTTTGGTTATACCTATAATTTCAATTAATGTTATTATAATGCTTTTTTTAATTTATTGTTGCATTTTTGTCCGAGAAAATAGTAACTTTGTTAAGTCATGAAAAACTCTTGGAAATAGTCATGGAAAATCATGAAAAGTCATGAATTTGAAAATCTAAAATGTAGCAGATACCCTGTATGAAAACAAGAACGGCGCATTTGAGGAAGGGTAGCTTCACAATAGACAGAAGAAAGAAATTCCCTTTCTCTCGCCGAGCTGAGCCAAAACACTGACCTTGCACCCCTACTTGAAATAGTCATACCTTGTTACCATAGCATAGCTGCCTACCCTTCTGCATTTTTACTTATTTTAGCTATTTGTTACACGCTGAAGATAAAATCTTCCGCCATTTTACTCGTCCGCCCGATACCTAGCATTTTCTTTAAATCAGACGTCGATGCTCCTCTAGTAATGGCCTTAGAAAGCTCGCTTGCGGTGATCCTCCCTTTCCTTCCATTTACGTCACATCGTTCAATGTGACATAATGGATTTCTCCTCTCTTCTACCAATGAGAGAAGGAATTCAGCTTCTGTTGTGAGAGCGCTTCCCGTTATCACGTGACTTCCTGTTTGCTGGCACGAAAGCAAACGTTAAAAGAAAATGGCTTGTGTAAAAGCAAAACAACAATTGGTTTATGGCAATATTTATTTACATTTACTTATTAGATTAATCTTGTTAATTTATTATGGCTGAACGAAAACAATACAAACAAGCCTTTAAGGAGTCTTATTCTCTTGAATTTCCATTTATTTCTAGATCGAGGAGTGCATGATGTACGCTTCAATGTATGTTAAAATTACTAGCATAGTGCATGGTGGTAAAACTGATATAGTCGGACACATAAAATCGACAAAACACCGGAAGAACAAAAAAAATTTTAATGTAATTCTTTCTTCATAATTTCTATTAAGTTTATATATAGTGCCAGGGGTCTGTCTAGGTCTTTCTGAGAGGTACCTATTTTGTGAAAATTTAGACATCATTTGTGAAAAATTATGTTTAAAAATCAACACAAAAATATGGATTTATCATTTCTTAAGGGATACAAAAATAAAATTTTAAGAAAAAGTATTTTGTGAAACTTCCATTTTTCCTAAAGTTGAATTTGTGAAACTACCGTTTTACCTAAAATTAATTTGTGGAGGTACCGCTAAATGGTAGTAAATTCGGCCTGGACAGACCCCTGAGTGCATACTATTATATTTTAATTAAACTAATGTTAATATAAGTCTTAAAATATGACATATTTCCCTTTAATCAAGAATATTGTACCATCAAGTAACTAGTCATTAGTTTTCTTTTTTTCTTTTTAAAAAAAAGTTGAGTATTGCTTCTTTATGCTCACATAGTGGATTTATAAATAAATGGTTAATTAAAATCTGCTTCTTTTATAAATTTATTGGTAATTAGTATGCAGTTACGAATCTTCTGCATTTTTTTTGCCTATCTTTTGCGTTTTTATAACTGGAGGTTGGCAGCTATGCCACAGTCACCACTATAGGTCCAGACGAATGTCTGGGGGAGTTCTTATTTTAGACAAACTATAATGAATTTTGTACATAGTTATTTTAATTTGTGCTTTTTAAATTGCTATATATATGTTTCTTACATTTCAATTTTTAAGTATAGTTTATTTTGATGCTTATAAAGCAAAAGTGTTTTTGTTTTTATAGTACAAAATCGAGAGTGAAAGGCCACCTAGAAATATACCATGCATATACCCCAGGATCCCAAGATGAAGAAGATAACACCAGTCAACAAGAAAGTGAAGTAAGTATTAACTTTATGATGGAAGACAGGTTTTTTTTTTTTTAAATGTCCAACCGGTGTTGAACAGCCCTGTTTTTGGGTTTACGACTACTAACGTTCAGTTCCGTGGCCTTGTACTTTTGAACCTAATCCAGAAGACAAGGGAACTTCTGAATCAAGTATTGAGAGAAATTTGCCTTCTTGGAGGATTTTAATGGAACAGAGTGCGTGGCGTTTTTAAAAAGTGCTTGAAGGTGCTTTTTTCATTGGGTGTTTTTAAAAAGTGCCTAATTTTTCCTTTTTCAAAATGAGATTTTTCCTTTACCATGTTGATTTTTGCTACGAATTGTGCAAAAAGACACGGTTCACATTGTTCTATTCAACTTTTTCACAATTAATTGAACCCCAATCTATTTTGGCGTATTGTCAGTTCCTTAGCGTATGAAAGCGCCATTTGTTTTACATGATTCAAAATGTCATGATTTTTGACAATTGTCAAGAACAATATCAAAAGTTTTTTTTTTGGGGGGGGGGTCATGACGGTTAAAACCATCAACTGTCAAAAACTTTCCAACCCTGCCTGATTATATTTTTTTAAAGTGCTTAAAAATATTTTTTGAGTATTTGAAAAGTGCTTATTTTTGGTTGAATAATTTGGCTACGCACCCTGTGGAACTAACCCGCATTTGCGTTACATGGGGAGGAAAACTGCAAAATCCTCCCACTGTTAACCTAACAGCAAGAGGACTCTCACACGTGATCCGCCTACCATCTAGGATGTTTTACGTCAGCACTGTGGTCGGTCCAAGCTGGATGTGGAATTGGTATCGACGAGCCGTCACGGGGATTCGAACCCGGTTCACTTCATCAAAAGGCAAACGCTCTGTCTCTCGAGCCATCACGGCTCGCAGAGTTTGCTTGGAAGAAACATATTTTATACAGAACACTGGAAAAAACAGAAGAAACTGGACAAAGTGGAGTAAACCAAAATGGCAAATGAGTTTTGTGGTCTGAGTTCAGCAATAAACTCAAATATAAGCAAATTAAATTGAATATAGCTTATATTTAAACAAATTAAATTTAATATATTTTATGTTTAAACAAGGTTAATTTAATATTGTAATAGAAAATTAAAAAATTTTGACATTTAATTAAAAATTAGAGATAAAAAAAGGTTAGTTTTTATTTATGTAGCTTTTTGAGAATTCTTAAATCTATATCTTATTATTTAAGAGTCGGTTTGAGTATTTATACTTAGCAGTATTGGATTATAAAAAGTAGTTTTCTATTTAAGGTGTGTGTTTGCAACTCTGAAGACCGTTGATTCACGTACTTCTGCAGGTCAATAATTTGTATTCCTACAAAGTTTTCTCTGAGTTTCACTGTTCTAAGATTTAAATTGCATTACTTGCACAAAATCTGAGCTCTAATTCGTGTGATAATGACTTTACCATACTTAGATTTGTTAGAGAGTTCGGATAAACTTCAATAAAACAAGACTGAAAAAAAGAAGCTCAGCTAATAAGTTTGGCTGAAATTAATGAACTACTACGGCTAACACAAAAAAGTATAAAATTAGTAATTTAAAATGCAATTCTGAAATGGCAAAAATTTAAAAGATTGTTCTCTAGAAAAAATGGTATTTTCTCTCTCTTTTTTTTTAAAAAAAATAAATAAATAAAATTATAGTTCCTTATAACTATTGTTAAAAATTTATAAATTCAGATTTGTAACAGAAAAATTATTCAATCCATGTGATATATTTACCCCCTTTTCTATTTCGCTGCAATTAAATTGAACAAATTTTTAATATGCTACTACCACAATGAAGAGGATGCCATACCGCAGAATAGAATTTTCATTGCACAAAGTTTTTAAAGGAAAGCTTAAGTGCAAGGTATCAGATATCTGTGAAGTTATTTAAATTAAGTTACACGAACATCTAAACTGAAATTTGATTCTTTTTCTAAATGAAATTAGGTACTTCTTTAAAGAAACTGTTATTTTACACGAACACTTTCCAGTTTTACAAAATGCGAAAGCTAGCAGAAAAAAAAATTTCAACCTAAGAACAAAAAAATAACTTGTTGCTTTCGAATTATACATTTATTTTAAGTGTATTAAATTTTTTTTTCATTAATAAAATGTATAAATTGAGTGAATGAATTGCAGGCTGGCTGGGAAATGGTGAACGCCGAAGAAGGTGGTATCAATGAGGAGACGCCGTCGACTCCAACTAATGTGCCTGCTCATCCGTCCAATCACTCTCCCCTTCCCCCGGGCTGGGAGGAGAGACAAGATGCCAATGGCCGAACATACTATGTCAATCATGCTGCAAGAACAACACAATGGGAGAGACCGACAGGGTAAGTATGCCACCTTCTAAGGTGGCGTGCACCCATTCCAAGCACAATATTAGCGTACCGGCCAAGTCTAAAGTTTTTTTACAACTATCTTCTGTTTTTTTTTTATGACTATCTTCTGTTTACCCGGATATTCTCAAATTTCTCAATATTTATTAAAGAATTTAAAAAGGATTGCCACAGTCAACTAAAATGCCTTTTATTTGCAACTATTTTCGACCTGAGGCGACTATGGCAGCCTTTTTTTGCCTCAAGAGGCTAAAAATACAACTACGTATTTTCAGGAAAATGAGACTTTACTGTGCTCCTAGCAATTTTTTTTTTTTTTTGTGCATAAATTGGGTTGACAACCTGTGGCCTGCAATAGCTCCTGAACACAAAATAAAAAATGTTGAATTACAAATTTGAGCCATCACTTATTAATGCTCTCAATTTGAACAGATTCCATTGTATATCTATTTTGTTTTTCGGTCCTCTTTTCTACGGTCATTGCAACAAAATTCTGTATGATTTTAGAAAACCCAATTTTTAATGCAAAATTACGATGCGTGAATTTCAAATCTGAATAATCACTTTTCACTATATATTTGTGTATATAGTGAAAATATGTATATATATAGTAATCACTTTTCACTATATATTTGCCAAATCGATTCTTTGTTAAACTAAAAAAATTTTAGAAAAAGTATAGTTTTTTTTTTTTTCAGAGGTCGCATTCCCCCTAAAATTCCTAAAAGTATGTGCAAACCCTAAAATTCCTAAAAATCTGATAAAATTTTGTTGGTGTTCCTAAAAAATTAGAGTTATAATATAAATATAAATAAAAAAGCAATAATCTAAAATATAAGAATTTTACTACATTAATTAAAACTGTTTTAATTTTGCCACATGGGAATTCTGATCCTGAGAGAGGTTTTTCAATAAATAAAGCAATGCTTAATGTGAGTCACCATGAGAATACTATTATGTCTCTTAGACTAATCAAAGATACCATTCGAAATTATGGAGGAGTGTTGAAGATCACCACAACACTATTGAGGGCAGTAAAAGAATCTCACAAATCATATCAAGAATATGTTAGAAAAATGATCATAATTAATTTGTTTTTCTCTAACTTCTAATATAAATTGCTGATTTGAAATCTAATATTATCACACAATAGTTTTTCTTAATAAAGTAAGGTAAAGGGTAATAAAAAAGTTTTGATTAAGAAGGTAAAAATTAAATAAAAATCCAAGTTGGTGTTAATTAATTTTTTCTCTTGATTTATTCTCACTTTTGCCTGTTCCTGAATTATGCACTTAATTTCTGATAGGTAATATGTAAAGTTGAAATTTCATTTTTACACTTTAGAGATTTCATTCTTGACTTAACAAATTTCAGAGCTTTATTTTATGGCTTGAAATTATTTATGATATGTGTGGATGAATTGTAATAATTTTCCGTTATGTAATAAACTACCGTGTGATCTGTTTCTATCCTAGCAAAATCATATATTACCCCTAAAATTTACCTAAAATTTTTTGAAGAAAGTTCCTAAAATTACCCTAAAATTTTAAAAAACTTTGCTGCTACCCCTGTTTTTTTAATAAAATTTTTTTTTTAATGTTTTCTAGTAATTAAAAGTATTTCATTTTCTGCAAGTGTAAAAATTTTTTTGATATAAAAATTTTGTGCTAGAACACTAATGTTTATATAAAAAATATATTTGCCACCAACATGAATCATTGTACAGTGAAACCTGTGTATAACGATACTGTCTATAACGATAAACCTGTCTATAGCGATATTTCCTTGAGGTCCCGGTGAAATTCCTATTTACTCAATGTATTTTTAACCTGTTTATAGCGATAACCACTTTTCAGTTAAACATGTCTACAACGATAATTTTTCCTCTTTTGATAGTTGATAGTTCTATTCCGATTTTTCTACCGTTGGAAAACGACTCCCCATCGAGCCTAAATGTGAGATAACAAAATGTTTTGTTTTTTTTTCATCTCCTTTGTATGTAATATTCTTTCGTTGTTTCTGAGAAAAAAAGCCACTTTTAGGGGAAATTAGAGCAGTAGAAATGGGTGAAGGGGTATTGTAGGAGGGAGAGAGCTTCGTCAGAAAAACGGGTTACTCGATGTATTTTTAACCTGTTTATAGGGATAACCACTTTTCAGTTAAACATGTCTACAACGATAATTTTTCCTCTTTTGATAGTTGATAGTTCTATTCCGATTTGGAAAATAACTCCCCATCGAGCCTAAATGTGAGATAACAAAATGTTTTTTTTTTCATCTCCTTTGTATGTAATATTCTTTCGTTGTTTCTGAGAAAAAAAAGCCACTTTTAGGGGAAATTAGAGCAGTAGAAATGGGTGAAGGGGTATTGTAGGAGGGAGAGAGCTTCGTCAGAAAAACGGGAGACACCCGAATTTCACCCGAGAATGCCATATTGCTAATTAACACTTTGCAAGATTTTGTTGCAACATTACCAAATGTAACTGATGTTCATTTGAATTCATTAGATGGACTGAAATCTATGTGCATGGAAATGGCAATTGCTTCCAAAAATAAGCATACAAAACTAACCGATTATTTTTCTAAATAATTTCTGTTTTGATTCATAAAATTGTAAGTAAATTTTTCTTGTGTGCTGTTTCATAATTCTAAGTAAAATTTTCATTTGGAGCCTATAAAAGAAATTTCATTTATCATTAGTTTTAAACGTATACTTTTAAATTTCAAACCTGTCTATAACAATAACCTGCCTATAACAATATTTTATTTAGGTCCCTGCAGTATCGTTATAGACAGGTTTTACTGTATATGACAATGAAATCATTTAATAAAATTTTAGTCGTATTTTTGTTCCAATTTAGGCAACTATTTTCAACTATTTTCAGCTACTAAAAGCAACTATATTGTTTATTTTTTTCTGTGGCAACCCTGAAAAAATAATAAAAATATGCTTATAAAATATCTGCTGATGGCAAAAATAATTATCTTATTCCTCAACAGATGGTACCATAGCCAGTACTGATGTTGAATATTAATAATTCAAGTAATTAAAAATAATAGTTAAAAAAAATCTTCTTAAGATTAAGATTTATATACATATATTTTACTTTGCTAAATGTAAGTGCTTATATTATTTCCAATCTTGAATTTCTCATTCTGACTTACTTATTTTATTTATCCGTTATTTTATTAATCCAATGTTGGCAGGTATGTATTAGTCCTTTGGATTGTAATCTCAGTTGTTATTCTGAAGGAAAAAGGTTTCGAAATAGATTCCCTTTGTTACGTTATACAAAGCTGGATTTTCAGCTGTAGCTATTTTAAAGTCCCTCAAATGTTATTATTATCACATTTTAACTTGAAATTTTAATAAACTCTGGAAAAATATTGCTACTTATATTATTGTTTGCAGCAGGCTTCGCTCTCCTCTAACTTAGAGGCTGTTCAACATGGTGCGTAGCATTTTTGAAAAGTGCTTAAAGGTGCTTATTTTCGATTTTCGTTTTTTAAAAGCCCTTAAGGGTGCTTTTTACATTAGGGTGATTTTAAAAAGTGCTTAATTTGTCCCTTTTTGAAAAGGATATCCCCCCCCAGCTCGATTTTCGAAACACAATATGCAAAAGCGCTGTTTTTCACATGGTTCGATTCAACATTTTCACAATTCATTCAAACAGAGTCCAATTTGCCTGACCATCGGTCCGTAGCGTATGAAAGCGCCAATCATTTTACATGTTTAATGTAATAATTACCAGTCCGCGTGTGCGTCTACTGAACTGGGTTCGGTGAGATTATTGCACTCTCTTGTTGTGCAACTTGTTGCATTTTGCAAGGTATTCTCAATTTCAGTTTTCATTTTCCACCCTCTGATAACGAACCGAAAAATCTCTGGATAATTTTATAACGGCTAATATAATCACGAAAAAAGTTTTTTGTCAGAAACTAGTTATTTTCTCATGATCTTGTATATTCTTTGAAAATTACTATTTTGTATTTTGTTAATGTGCTTAGAAATATTTTTTGAGTGCTTAAAAAGAACTTAAAAGGTGCTTATTTTTTGTTGAAAGATTTGGCTACTGTTTAAGTTTTAACAAACTCTAGAAAAATATTACTACTTACCATATTAATGTTTGCTGCAGGCGTTGCTCTCCTTTAACTTAGGGGCTGTTCAAATATTGCGTAAGCTTTTATTAAAGAGTTAGAGGTTGTGGCCTGTGTAGAATTAAGTAGTGTATACCCTTTAAAATTATGCTAATTTAAATTGTGTAAATGTTTATACTTCTGTATTTTTGAGCATTTGATTACTGATATAGTTATATGAATATGATGTTATATGTATTCTAATAATAATACTAACTGATTAGTTATATGAATTCTAATATAATACTTGTGGCGTAACTACCACTACAAAAGTTTAACATCATTCACTAGTATATAAAGCATGCTAACTTGATTCTATCACGAGGTACCTCGTGATAGAATCAAGTCACCTTGATTCTATCAATCACCTTGAATCAATCACCAAGAATCAATCACCTTGATTCTATCACGTCCGGGTCACCAGTGTGGGGGGCGGAGTTATCGACCATGCCAACCGTCATCTATCAAAAGGTACCTCGTGNATGTATTCTAATTAAAATACTAACTGATTAGTTATATGAATTCTAATATAATACTAACTGATTAGTTATATAAATTCTAATAAAATACTAACTGATTAGTTATATGAATTCTAATATAATACTAACTGATTAGTTATATAAATTCTAATAAAATACTAACTGATTAGTTATATGAATTCTAATATAATACTAACTGATTAGTTATATGAATTCTACTGTAATACTAACTGATGTAAACAAACTTATTCAGTTCTACCCATGTTGTGGAAGAGGCTCAACAGAGGAGTATAGAATCAGCACAAGAATTTCGTCGGCGTGTTCACATTAGTGTAGACCACAGTGATGATTCAGCACCTTCAGAAGTAGATCATCCGAGGGATAACACAGAAATTATAAGAAATGTAAGTTTCACATCCTAATCTTTCAATCTGACTAGAAATACTAAGTTTCCACATGGTGCTTAGTGTTTTTAAAAAGTGCTTAAAAGTGCATATTTTCGTTTTTTAAAAGCCCTTAAAGGTGCTTTTTTCATGGGATATTTTTAAAAAGTGTTTAATTTTCCCTTTATCAAAATTAGATTTTTCCTTTACTATGTTGATTTTTGCTTCAAATTATGCCAAAAGACACAGTTTACATTGTTCTATTCAACGTTTTCACAATTCATTCAACCCCAATCTATTTTGGCATATTGTCTGTCCGTGGCGTATAAAAACGCCATTCGTTATACATGATTCAAAATTTCTGAACAATGCCGATTCAAAAAAATGGCAAAAGGATTTTTTTACATGACGGTTAAAGCAAGATAAAACTGTCAATTGTCAGAAAACTTTCTAACTTTGCCTAGTTATGGTATTTTTTTAAAGTGCTTGAAAATATTTTTTGAGTGCTTGAAAAGTGCTTATTTTTTGTTGAATAATTTGGCTCAGTGGTGCGACAGCCCATAGAGAGCCAAGACCTTCTGTGTTCATCTCAGTTTTCTTGACTTTGAGCTCTTGGGGGGGGGTGCAGGAGCAGATGTTCCTGTCGGGTGGTCAGCCGATCGTCAAATCCCTAGTGTTATGCCCTGAAGCATTTTGACTTTTCTTAATTCTATCCAATTTACTGTTCACTATTTTTAGTATTAATGCAAATTCAATTTTTTAAAAATATAAATCATAAGTATTTTTTTGGAAGTGGGATCGATTTTTTAATTTTTAAGATTGTCTTTTTTGAAAGTTTAACACTAAATTATTTTATTTAATTAAATCGAATATCACAGAGCTGAAATTGCATAGACATATTTATTTAATTAATAAATAAACTCAGCGAACTAAAAAAAAAATTATAATTTAATTATATAAAATATTTATTTTCTTAAAATACAAGTTTTTGTATGTTTTGTAATATTATTAGTCATTGTAATATTTCAGTTATTTTTAAAATTTACCAATAGTTAGTCATGTGTGAAACACTAGGGAAAATCGTGCAATGCGCTGCATGACACAGATCGCAATGAAACAGTATTAAACTTAAAATCTATTGTAGACCTTCATTTACAATGCATCAGAACATTTTAACAATAAAACTATTTTTATGACAATTTATTAAGTGCAAATTGCAAAATTCATATTCATTCTTTGTTTTAATGAATTATGAAACAAAGAAGTTAAACAAAATGTTCCCCAAGAATTACGATTTTTCCAAATCACTTGAAAAAGCCTATTGATTTCTAATTTGATTTACGGCTCTATATAAGGAGAAATATTTAATTTAAATTTACACAAGGAAAGTTTTCCATAAACTTTCGTAGTTTTGGTGATATTATTTGTACATGACATGATTTATTTATGTTTAACAGACTTTTTTTCTATTACCGAAGACATATATTTTTCTCCACCTCTATTCAAGATGATAGATTAAAAAAATATTTTAAATAAAATGCTTTATACAATTTTCTTGTACCAACCTACACTTTCTGAGAAAAAAACAACATACTGATCTGGAAATTTTGAAACCTGATTAAAGTGACCACCCTGATTAAGATTATATTATGTTTCAACAATATATGCATTATAGTTTTATTAATATAAATGAATATTTCAGATGCTGGAAGCCCAAAGAGTGGATCCCAGTAGTAGGCGTCATTCTATGGTAAACTCTTTTATTTATTTTTCTTACTCTTCTCTATTAATATTCCATATCTGCCAACTGTCCAGGATTTTTGCGGATTTGTTCCTAATTTTTAAATCAAAAATTAAATCAAAAAATCCGAAGTTTCGTAAAATTGCAGTATTTTTGCTTTTAAACCAATCCCTTGTTCTGATCGTCACAACCATGCTTCCTGTGATTATTGTGCAGAAGTAATTTTTAGTAGCTTTTTATTGGGAAATACTATTCTAATAGCTGTAGCTGATCATTTCACTAAATTGAATCTTAAACAACTACAGTACAGAAGCCGTTATCTGGAAAACCAAAAAACCGGAACAAAATTCGATAAATTTTCTCGCCATTTAAAAAAAAAATATATTTTTTTTCCTCATAAGATTTTATGATTTTTCTTTCTTTTTTTAAAGATGTTTACCTTACCATCATTTTGGAAATAATCATTAGTGTATTACTTCATCGTTTTTTCTTATTTTTAAGATTATTTCCAATTTTTTTTTTTTTAATTTGGGTTTAATAAAAAAAAAAGGCTTTTTGTAGCGATTCAGAAAACCGGAAAAATCAGTTATCCGGAATAGCGATAGTTCCGGATAATCGGTTCCCTACTGTATTATTATTTTTTTTAAAAAATTTTTGTAGTATTTAAACATTTAAATCAGAAATATTTGTTTATGATGTAGTTTAATATTTACCTGTGTTTTATAATTTGGTTGTAATTCATTTACGTCACACTAGAGCTGTACAATGGGCTATTGGCAACGGTCTGGGAAACATCCCTGAGGATGATCCGAAGACATGCCATCACAATATTGATCTCTGCATCGGTGTTATGATTTGGAGAAGAATAATTATACATTTTATAGTTGTTTTTTTTAACTACTATACCGGTATTCCTAATTATAAAATGTTTATCTTATAAATTTCCCACAAACGATAGTGTTTATAATTTTTTTCACTAATTTTCATAAGGTATTTAAACATATGTCTACTAATGTTATTATTTAATAATTAAATTTTTGTCTTACTCTCGTAATTGGTGCATATAATTTTGTCGCATATAGTGTTCCTAATTTTTTATTCCTATGGTTGGCAGCTATGATATTCAGTGGTGTAAATAACTCCCAATTTTTCGTTCTCATTTCACAGGGAGAATGGGGAAACACAGGGAATTGTAAAGTCATCTGAAATAACAGGGAAAAGGCAAGGATTTTTGATTTTTTTCTTCTTTACAAACTGGGAAAATACAAGGAATTCTGTTTCTTATTTTCGTCTTTTAAGTATTGGTGACCACTCAATGTGTAATCTATGGGATATTTAAGGATGATATTCAAACTATTTTATTTACTACAACGTTATTGAATCTCTTTCTTTTTTCAGCAATTAAAACTAGTATAATTAGCCCAACATAGCTCACAGAAGAGCACAGTAATTGTGTTTCCTCTTAATATGTTCCCAATGATGCGTGCAGAGAAAACACAGGGAATTTTTTTTCCTTCCAGATTTGAGGTGCAACCCTGTTTACTCTTTCTCTAGTTATTAGCAAACAAAGTACAATACCTAAAATATAAAAACAGATTACATTAATAATTTTTGAGCTAATAATTGAATGTTTTACTAAGATTCAATCTTAATGATTTGAAGGAGTAATGTTAATGCTAAAATATTTGTGCAGTTAATATATTTCACACAAAAATTGAAGGAAGACTATTTTCTTATCTATCATGCTTTATTTTGTTCTAATATTAATAATAATTAATATTAAAATATTATTAATATTAGAACATTATTAATAATAATTACTAATAATAATTAGTGAGAGTAATTAAACTTGAATTACTCTCACTAGAGTCAAAGTTTAAAGCAATAACTGCTGCAATGCCTGTAAGCATAATTTAAAGAGTAGTTTTTATATATATTTAAGGTAGACACCTCTGGGAAAACTTAAAAAAATGTTTCAGACTATTTTCTTATCTTTCATGCTTTATTTTGTTCTAATATTAATAATAATTAATATTAGAATATTATTAATATTAGAACATTATTAATAATAATTACTAATAATAATTAGTGCGAGTAATTAAACTTGAATTACTCTCACTAAAGTCAAAGTTTAAAGCAATAACTGCTGCAATGCCTGTAAGCATCATTTAAAGAGCAGTTTTTATATATATTTAAGGTAGACACCACTGGGAAAACTTAAAAAACTGTTTCATGAGATTTTTGGAGATTTTGAATAAGTTTTTGATAAGTGCAGATAAGTTTCACATAATTATTTTTGTTTCCAAATACATTTTGGTAAATAAGAATTAATAATAATAATTTCTTTGTCCAAACTTCCTTTCTAACAGTAGCCATCTTAATAGTGTACTTTGCAATGAGTGTTTTTTTTTATTCAAATGTCTGTCTAAGAATCGAGACGGACATGTACCGTGAATATACTGTGTTTTTCTCATACTAATTTCCTTATCTCAAATCTTGTACTGTTGTAGAAACAATTTAAATTTGAAAAAAAATGACTTTACAAAATTTTTTAAATAGCACAAATAAAAATACTTTTAATGAGCAAAATAGTTAAGAGACTGTGATGCCACAATAGGCATTACATATTTCCTTGCCTTTATAATTTTGTTCATTTCTTAAACTTATTTTTAATCATTCTTGATGAAATTTTAATTAAATTAAATCAATTTTTTAATTTTTATTATATTTTATTCTTTTCTTATTGATCAATGTAACGGCTAACTTTTTATTTTAGTACTAGTGTGGACTCATTAATTCAAAAAAATCGAAAATGAAACTCTATTTAAAACTCTTTAATTTTTATTTCTTACTGCTAATATGTTTTAGTTACATGGTTCTACTAATTGTCACAGTCTTTTTGGTGATTTGTTTTCATCAAATTATTTTGAGATTAATATTGATTCCGATAGGTTGGCTTTGTTTTTGTCTGTGTTATCTTTCAATAAATTGCCAACCTTGGGTCTCTTCCTATGCTCCTAACTGTCCGTTGGGAACAAACCAATCATTTTTTTGATTTGGCTTGTGATTAGACAGATCATGGGGGATCCAATGGTCTGTCCTTATTAATATTATTGTTCAAAATGTAGAAAGACTCATTATGGATAAAATATAATTTGTATCTCAAGCTCTAAAAATTCTGCATACAAGTTTTAATATGATTATGATCCAGTTTTCATCTTCAACTGTCATTTTCATCATCCTGTTTTCATCCCTACCTTCAATTGGTCAATTATACCATGCAACTCCAACCATACCTAATTCCATTATTATAGAGACATTCCTCTTTTGTGATGCTGTAAATAATCATGATGCTTATTTTTTGCATTGAAACAAACTACTGAATGTCCCTTAAGGCCTGGTTTCTTAGGACAGGACGCCATCAGCTGGAAATCAGCGCTAACCTCTGATTNTTTAGCCCGTTGCAAGCCTAAGTCGACAGAGTAGTTCAAACCAGGCAAGTTCTGAGGGACTCCCTGCAGGCTGGTCCATGCAAGTTGCTCCAAACGGACGTGTATTCTACATTGATCACAACTCTAAAACAACAACTTGGGTAACAAATCAACACTTTTTGTTTTATTTAACACAAGATCATTTGTTTATTAAAAAAGCGAGAAAAAAAAATATTGTCTCTTAAAAGGTCGTAAATTTTGTGATTTGCTTGTATTTGCCGACAATGTTTAAGTGAGGCCCTAAAATTTTATTTATTTTCAAGCTTTTCTTGAAAAGCGAAATAAATAATCTAACAAAACAAATCACAAATGGAATTCAACAACGAAAGTGAATTACAGGAATGATTCGAATTCGGAGTAAAAGGTGGAAGTCAGAGAAAAATTTTCTAGTTTAGTTTTGAACATTTAAGATTCCTAAAGAATATTCTAATAAAATTTTACAAGACAGATTTAAATATATAAACTTTGGTTTTTACTAAACTGCATCTTTTATTTGAATTCAATCCTAAATTTTGGTTAATACAGTAAAAGTCAAAATTAAGACAAAAACTGAGGGGGGGATGTTGTGACTTCCTTGCATAAGGATGGTAGTGCGTTTGTGATTTGCTTATTTTTGCAAACTAGAGGCATGAAAAGTCCAAAATTTGCCAAAAATACTATTTTCCAATGGCAGTAATCAGTGTGTTGGAAATAGCTCAAAGGCTTTAAGATAAGAAATTTGTCCATTAGTCCAATAGAAACTTGTCTTGAGGGTGCGTTAGAAATAAATTTGTGTGGTTATTTCTCCTTGATTTATTCTAAAATGCATGCAAATAAAAAAAAAAAATTTTTACATTTTTACTATACTTTTAAATTTTTATAAAGGATGTCTTAGGATATTTAGAATCTTGTATTTAAATGATAATTTAAACATGTTTGAGCATTTTTAATTTTGCTGATTCGATGATTTAATGATTTCAATGAACAGTTTGTAATAATGAGTATCCTACTGCTTTTGTAAGCTATGCCTTAAGTATATTCTACATGGTGCGTAGCATTTTTAAAAAGTGCTTAAAGGTGCTTATTTTCGTTTTTCTTGAAAGCCCTTAAAGGTGATTTTTCAGTTGTGTTTTTGAAAAGTGCTTAATTTTCCCTTTTCGAAAATGAGACTTTTTTCCTTTGCCATGTCGATTTTCGCCACATATTATGCAAAAGCGTGGCTTTGAAATTGTTCTATTCAGCGTTTTTGCAACCCATTTCGGATTATCGTCGATTTGTAGCATACGAAAGCTCTAATCATTTTACATGTTTGATGAAATATTTGCGAGTTGGCATGTGCGTATACTGAGCTGGGTTCGGTGAGATTATTTCACTCTCATGTGCATTTTAAAAGACATTCTCAATTTCAAAANTTAAAAGTACTCTATTATACATTTTCCCTCTTTTTTTTGGCAACTTAGATGTTTTTCTATTTTCAGCCTGTTGCAAGCCTAAGTCGACAGAGTAGCTCAAACCAGGCAAGTTCTGAGGGACTCCCTGCAGGCTGGTCCATGCAAGTTGCTCCAAACGGACGTGTATTTTACATTGATCACAACTCTAAAACAACAACTTGGGTAACAAATCAACACTTTTTGTTTTATTTAACACAAGATCATTTGTTTATTAAAAAAATGAACAACAAAATATCGTCTCTTAACAGGCCGTAAATTATGTGATTTGCTTGTATTTGTTGACAATGTTTAAGTGAGGCCCTAAAATTTTATTTATTTTCAAGCTTTTCTTGAAAAGCAAAATAAATAATCTAACAAGAGAAATCACAAATGGAATTCAACAGCTAAAATGAATTACAAGAATGATTCTAATTCGGAGTAAAAGGTGGAAGTCAGGAAAAAATTTTCTAGTTTGGTTTTGAACATGAAAGATTCCTAAAGAATATACTAATAAAATTTAATAAGACAGATTTAAATATATAAGTTTTGGTTTTTACTAAACTGCATCTTTTATTTGAATTCAATCTTAAAATTATAATAAGGATGGTAGTGCGTTTGTGATTTGCTTATTTTTGCAAACTAGAGGCATAGAAAGTCCAAAATTGCCAAAAAATACTATTTCTTTTACTATTTTCCAATGGCAGCAATCAGCGTATTGGAAATAGCTCAAAGGCTTCAAGATAAGAAATTTGTCCATTAATCCAATAGAAACTTGTCTTAAGGGTGCTTTAGAAATATATTTGTGTGGTTATTTCTCCTTGATTTATTCTAAAATACATGCAAATTACAACTTTTTTTAAAATTTTTTACTATACTTATACAGGATGTCTTAGGATCCTTAGAATCTTGTGTTTAAATGATAATTTAAACATGTTTGAGCATTTTTAATTTTGCTGATTCGCTGATTTAATGATTTCTATGAGCAGTTTGTAATAATGAGTATCCTACTGCTTTTGTAAGCTATGCTTTGAGTATCTTTTACATGGTGCTTAGCATTTTTGGTGCTTAAAGGTGCTTATTTTCGTGTTTCTTGAAAGCCCTTAAAGGTGATTTTTTTCAGTTGTGTTTTTGAAAAGTGCTTAATTTTCCCTTTTCGAAAATGAGACTTTTTTCCTTTACCATGTCAATTTTCGCCACATATTATGCAAAAGCGTGGTTTTGAAATTGTTTTATTCAGCGTTTTCACAATCCATTTCGGATTACTGTCAGTTTGTAGCATACGAAAGCTCTAATCATTTTACACGTTTGATGAAATATCTGCGAGTTGGCATGTGCTTCTACTGAGCTGGGTTCGGTGAGATTATTTCACTCTCATGTGCATTCCTCTGCATTTTGAAAGACATTCTCAATTTCAAAATAAATTTTCCACCCTCTGAAATCGAGCCGAAAAATCTAACTTTTTAAGGTAGCTAATATGAACAAGAAAAAAGTTTTTGTCTGAAACTAGTTATTTTATCATTATCTTTGTTAATAAGTCTTTGAAAATTATTTTGCATTTTATTGATGTTTATAGTGCTTAAAAATATTTTTGAGTGCTTTAAAAGTACTTAAAAGGTGCTTATTTTTGTTGAAAGATTTGGCCACGCACCCTGTTCTAATATGATTGAAATAATAAAGAAAGTTTTCATTTTTCAATACAAAAACTACCTGTACGTTAGTTTTTCCCCCTGAATTTTCGGAATATCTTTTGGAGTGCAAATTTATATTATTTCATGTAGAATATTTTAGCTTTTGAAAACTAAAATAGTGTAAGTGATTTATATTATTTTAAATTGGGACCTACTCTTAATAAAAATTTAGAAGTGCTGGGTCCATAGAGGATCTGTAGCTTTCAGTCCAGCGAAATCACTTTCACTTTCTGTTGGTGGTTAAAATTTTCTGTTTGAAAACTTTGTCTGGGTTGCCACAGGCAACTAAAATTTAACTATTTGCAACTATTTTCAGCCTGAGACACCCTTGGTAACTTTTTGTTTGCCTGAGAAGGCTAAAAAGGCAGCTATTTTCAGGAAAAGGAGACTTTTCTGTACTCCTACTTTTTTAGCATAAATTGGATTGCGCAACCTGTAGTTCGTTTGAGCTTCTGAACACACTGAATTATTTATACTTAAAAAATTTTGAATTGCAGGTTTGAGGCATCACTTTTTAATGCGCTCAATTTGCACATATTTTATTATAAGTCTGTCTTGTTTCCCGATCTCCTGTTCAAATGTTATTGCTTCGAAATTCTGCATGATTTTCAATATTGTGATACGATATTACGATGCGTGAATTTCGAATTTGAATAGTCACTTTTTACAATCTATATATGTATATATTCATATTTGCTAAATCTGTTATTGATAAAAGTGAAAAAGTTTTAGAAAAAGTACGTTTTTTTTAATGAAAAAGTATTTAATTTTCTGCAAATATACTAAATTTTTTGATGTAAAAATTTAGTGCTAGAAAACTAACTTTTATATAAAAGTTATCATATTTGCAACCAACTTGACTAAGTTGATCTATTAACTACTATATGACAATTAAGTCATTTAATAAAATTTTAGTCATATTATTGAAAATTTTGAGTTCTTGTTTAGGCAATTATTTTCATGCTTTAGGCTACAAAAGCAACTATCTTGTTAATTTTTTTTTCTGTGGAAACTCTGCTTTCTGTATAAAGGTGTACAATAGTATTATTTCTTTTGCAGGTTGATCCTAGAACAGGTAAACCTAGTGTTTTACCAAACCAGAGCAATGTGCCAAATCGGCCTCGTTTTAGCAGTGTTGATGATCTGGGACCATTGCCTGTAAGTTTTCACTCTTTTATATTTCATAGTATTTTACAAAACTGTCTTGATTTAAATTTTACATATTTATATATTCAGGGGTGGCAAAATGTATGATTTTATTTTTAAATCAAATCAGTTTTTTTTTCTATATAAATTAATTTTTTAAAAAAATTAAGTCAAATTTTATTTTCTTACACTTACCAACCAAAAATCTGATAAAATGTATTAGTATTGCCTACTGTTATTGAAATATTATGAGCTAAATGCTTAGTATTTCTAATTTAAATGATTAAAATGTGAACAAATGTTTGAAATCGGTCAGTATTGTCGGTAGATTGACATTTCGTCAATTGACAAAACACTGTGAGTGTAAGAGCGGTGGACTTCGTTTTAATAGTACACATTACTGAGCGTCAGTTTACTCAAAAGTTAAAATAAATTAACTTTACAGGATGCTTCTAAAATGCAATTTAAAGAAATGGAAAAAAAATCCATTTATTTTTCGAAAAGAAGAAAAAAAAAGACAGTAGTCTTGTGGCAGAACTTTTTTGAGCTATCTGTGACAAAACTCTCAAGCACTAATATCTTTTTGCAAGATACTTTTAATAATAACAAATATCCATGTTACTAATTTGAAATAACAAAAATGTCAATTTCAAAGAAGAAAAAAAACTTTTTGGATAAAATAATATTTTTTTAAAAATTTAATATGTAATATTTTTTCTTTATTCTAATATTATGGGCAATGTTTTTGTATTTTGTAGGGGAAATGGAAACTAATTATTTTTTTTTACATTTTGTAAATCATCATCACATTAAAAAAAAAATCGTGAAATCCGTAATAGTAACTACCAAAAAACAAATGATCGACAACGAAATTATGTAAATCGGACTCTTCAAAAAGAGGTTACTAATTGTGTGTTTTCATTTTGAGATTCAGTTGTTGTAAGAAATAATATCGTATTAAAAATGTCAGATTTTGAAAACTATGTGGAAATCAGTAGTAATAACAGCATAAAAAAAATAGAACCAAAAGTTATTCAGAAAAGAAACCCAAATTTTTTACTTCATTATTCGTTATTCTTCATTATTCTCAATAGAGATTGGAAAATTCATAAGCATTTTTTTCTTCTCTGCATCTTTTGAATATAATTCTGAAGAAAAGATATATATAGTCTTTCGAAATCTTTTGAAACTTTCTGCTGATAAACCAAAATTTTTTACTTCCCAAAGGTAAATTCTTTCTGCAAGAACTTGGTAATGTTCTGCGTAAATGTTGCCGTGTTGCAACGATTCTGCCCCAGGGGACAATAATAAATAGACAGTAAATGTCATGGAACACTTTAATTAATCAAACTACTAAAAAAGTTACTTTATTGTAAAATTTAAGCTTGAATTGACATAATAACTACCATTATTTATACATATCTAATTTTGATTCTTTACAACTGAAATCTATTTAATCTTACACAAATCTTTTCAAATCTGTCTTCACAAATCTAAAACTGTTGTGGTATTGATAATGTTTGCACAATCTAACGTAGCCACTCTATTTACCTATTTCTTTTTCCAAAATAAAAAATTATGAAAATTTTTTTTGTAGTGAAAAAATAATTGCAGTGATACTTGTTTTCTAGGTGCATGTAAGTATCTGATTAAAAGTATTTATCCTGATGTATTTACATATCTTTAAAAGACGTAGACCTAATGTTACATGTAAAGCCACTGTTACCAATTAAAATTGAGAAATAACCACAGATATGGTTCCACATAATACAGTGATTAAATAAATTGAAACCAAAATATGCATCATGAAATAATTTAGTAAAAAATTATATTTTTTAATATTCAATAGGCTTTAAATAATTAAATTTTTTTAAAAATCTAATTTAAGTTTAAAAAACAGTTGTTAAAATATCTAAATTTTGTGGGTTGACTTTAACTGTTTTTTTTTAAAAAAATTTTAACCTTTTTAGGAAGGATGGGAAGAACGTTTCCATACAGATGGTAGAATATTTTTTATTGACCATAGTAAGTGACTTTTTTATATTAAAAATGTCCCAAAATTCATGCATTAATCCCCATTTGTGCAATAAAGTGTTGCCGAAAAAACAGAAGGAAGCACATGGTGCGTAGCGTTTTTAAAAAGTGCTTATTTTCGTTTTTTAAAACCTCTGAAAGGGGCTTTTTTTATTGGGGTTTTTTAAAAAGTGCTACATTTTCCCTTTTCGAAAATGACTTTTTTTTTCTTTACCGTGTCGATTTTCACCACATATTATGCAAAAGCGTGGTTTTCTCATTGTTCTATTCAACGTTTTCACAACTCATTCAAAGACAATGCCTTTCGGCGCACCGTCGATATGAAAGCACCAATCATTACACATGTTTAATGAAATGCTTATGAGTCTGCGTGTGCATTGAGTGACCTGGGTTTGGGTAGATCATTGCACCCTCATCTGCATCTCTGCTGCATTTTGCAAGATATTCTCAATTTCATTTTCCACCCTTTGAAATCGAAACGAAAAATCTTTTGATCTTTTTATGGTGGCTAATAGATTTAAAACAAAAAGAATTCTTTATCAAAAAGTAGTTATTTTATCGTGACCATGCAAAGTTTAAAATATTATGCATTTTGTTAATGTATATGGTGCTTATTTTTTTAAAAACATTTGGCTGTGCATCCTGTAAAAGAGTTCTTTATCAAAAAGTTGTTATTTTATCATGATCATGTAAAGTTTTTGAAAACTAGTTTGCTGCTCTATATAGTGCTTAAAAATATTATTTTATTGTTTTAAAAGTACTTAAAAGGTGCTTATTGTTTGTTGAAAGATTTAGCTATGCACATTGTTTATGCGAAAAGAACAAGCCTTTTTCATTCTTATGATTATCATTGGTTATGTGATTTCCTATTTTGTATATCACAATTGGCTCACCACATCATGTGATTTAATGTTTAACGCCTCAGAACTTCTTCTTTTTGTTTATGCAGACAAGCTAATAATGACCCGAGCATTAAAGGAGAAAACTGTGACATCAGCTATGTTCAGCCTCATTAAATGTAAAAGGGTCATTGAAAAGTTTTGACCAAAGAACGACTTGTACAGGGTATCCGCGCACCTTAAAAGTCATGGATTTCGGCATCGAACAAAATTTGTCATGAAATGTCATGATTTTAATAATTTTTTTTAAAAAATCATGAAAAGTCATGGATTTAGGTTGCCAAAAAAATCTAATTTTTAGAATGGAATTAACCCCTTAATTTCATGGTGTTCTGAATATCTGAATTTGTAACAAAATTCCCACTGGCAGTCATATTTGATTAAAATATGAATTGTTTTTATTGTGTTCTTTAAAAATTATGGTGTTCTTTCAAAAAATGAATGAAAAAACATCATTTCTAAAGCGAATTATCTTTTAAACTGTGATTTCAGAAATTTTGTTGTTATTTTTTATTTATTTTTTTTTTCATCTTATCAATTTAAAATTCTAGCTGAAGCAAGCCAGTCATTGGTGTATTTTTTTCCCTTTCCAATGAGCAAGAAAAGTATCTTTAGAATGTAACTCTGCAGAAGAGAAAGAGAAAAAAAAAAATTGCTTTTATATTTTTTCCCAGCTATTTTATTGCTTCAACTCTTTCTTTACTCTGTTTCTTAAATATAAAATCAATAAATATGAAGATGTAAATTATAACAGTTTTTGGTTATTCCTATCATTTCAATGAATGTTGTTATAATGCTTTTTTAAATTCATTGTTGCGCTTTTGTCAGAGGAAATAGTAACTTATGTCATGAAAAATTCTTGGAATTAATCATGGAAAGTCATGAATTTGAAAATCTAAAATGTAGCAAGTACCCTGAATGTACTATTTCATGCATGAAACCTTTGTTGCACAGTTCATTAGAATATTAAATTAAAATAAAAAGCAAACTTTTTTAATTTGAGACTCACCTGAGTTTTCTATCAAAATTACTTCTTGCATGAATGAATTTGGGACACCCCTTGTATGTATCTGTGTTGAGTTCTATTCAAATTTTAATTATATAAAATTAATTTCTTTAGATTCTAGAGTCACACAATGGGAAGACCCTAGGCTAAACAATCCAAATATAGCTGGACCAGTAAGACATTTTTTTAAGTTTCATATTTTTAAGTATCAGACATTTTTTCAACATATTTAGTTTTATTTTCTGAATTAAAAATAGAGTTTCTGCTTCTTATTACGAGTTATTTTTCCTACCTGTGAAGTTTTTGTAGCAAAAACATTACATGCACATCAATTTTTTAACTTTACATGCAGGTGTTTTGTTTTTGGTGTCAGAATACTTTTTGAATTGACATAAAGCTGTATTAATATGAAATAACTGAAAAACTTGCACAGATTTTGTATAAATCAATCAATTCAAAGCGGGTTTTGATTATATATAAATAGTTTTATTGCCTTAATCTTAATATATGCAATATTAATTTATTAATATTTTTTTTAACATTTATGCTATTAAAGTGGGAATTGAACTTTTATAATTAAATTGATTATATCAAAATATTTTCATAAAAATAAAATTGTTTTGAATACTTAAAAAAATTATAGTATTCAGATTACAATTGCTAATATTTGTACTAAACTTAAACAACAAAACATAATATTACTTAATATTTTGTTTTAAGACAGGCTTCAAAATAATATTTCATATATTTTTAGTAATTTTATTAGATAATTAATGTATTTAAATTTGAATTTTGAAATTCCTTAGAAAAATTACAAAATAACTTAGGTAAATAAATTCAAGTATTAAAAATTTTGCATTAGTTTTCATTTTCAAAAAATGTTTCTTACATAATTTTAAGAGATAAAATAGCAAGCATTTGTCTTATATCTATGCATTTACTATATTTCAATTTAGATTTGACTTATACAGCTTTAATTCAGAACCTTTAATCCAAAAATGAACACAAATATGAGCCATGTTTTTTTCTTTATAGAACTTACTACTATGATTTTGATACTGAAACTTTTTTTTAGTTTTACTTTCGTAATAACTTAAATTTTTTTGTTGTTACCTTAAGTATGACTCTTTAAAGAATATAACATTGAAATATGATTGGAATTAATGATTTATTTTTATCTATTTAAGTAATATAAAAATAATAAAAGATTGAGCTTTCAGGCACTTTTTCCCCACTTAACTTTTCAGTAATCATCACTTTCAAACCGTGATGTTGTACTTTATGTGAAAGTTGAAACTGGGATTTATTATTTGGTAAATTAGTTTAGAAGTTTTTAAGTCTCAAGTTCATTTTCAAAAATAAGTAACTAAATAATTATAATATAATAAAACTAAAATATAGATTGGATAATTGGATTAGTTAATGCTCTTGACAAACTTATAGTTTGTATCTTATCATTTGACATTTTACAATGTTTGAATCACTTTCGAAACTTATCTCCAAAAAGTTCCTCGAATTAATTAGCTAAACTTTTTTTTGGTGTCTTCTTTGATGTTTCTTCCTTTGAAAAAATCTGCCCCATTTTACCCGTATTGCAAAGGTGGACAAAATATACCGAAAAACAAAAATTATGTTTTTTTTTTCTCCACGTTTTCACGTTATTTTGTTGTATTACTTCGGAAATATAATTTGTTTTTCATTTTTGATATAAAATTGCGAAAATTATTATATTTTAATTGCTATATTTAATTATTCAATGGTATTATAATTTTTATTTTTTTACTCACCATATTTGAATTGCAATTTTTTTTTGTTCGTATTTTTAGTGTATTTCAACTATGAATTCAATTTACCTGCACATAAAAACCCATAAATAAAACCCCCCAAAATTTTGAAATAAATTTTATCGAAATACTAATTTTGGCCACAAAACCTTGGATGCTGGCCCACTGTGCATTGTATACACTGCGAGATATGAAAGAAGCAACTGTTTTTCTTATTTATTTCATAGTAATTACTATTTTATGCTATTGCTTCCCATTACACTTTATGAAAGCTATCAGCTTAATTAATGTATCTGCTATTGAATTTTTAAAAAAATTTTGGGCTGCAGTGGCTGGGTGATATTTCTCGGAATAAAGAAAAAAATATATGACTACTATTATATATCAGGAAGGTAAACTATTAAAAGAGTTTCATAAATGAAATATGCATTGAAGTGGACTGTCTGTATTCTTTTCCGTTAAGGTTAAGCAATGTAAAAATAAGCTATTTTTGTAATGGGAAAGTTTTTATGTTTCAATTTTTCAATTCCTACTATTAGTTCACCCTCCCCCTATATATCTTGTTCAAATTTTCAATTGTTAGTAAAATACTTTTTAATCATCCATTCAAGTGCAGATACATTTTTTAAAACTTGTAGTTTAGGACACTTGATGTTAATACAGTTCTTTCAAATATTCAATCATTCATTCAATTTAATGAATTAATTTTAGTTTTATATAGGATATAAAATTGTAATTATTGAATGAAAAAATAACTGAAATAAAACTTTTCTTTGTTGACTTTAAATTTTTTATTACTCGTTAAGCGGAATAGTTCAAATTTTCAGATACAGCAAAACGAAAATTTATAATAAATCAAGTGACCAAATAAAATTGTGCTCGATAAAATAAGTTGTTGAATCAATTAATAAAATTGTGCTTTTTTTTTTATCGATGTTTATAAACAAGTATGTGTTTTGATTACCTATTTATTTACATATAAATGCATATTTTAATAGGCTGTTCCTTATTCACGAGACTACAAAAGAAAATATGAATATCTGAAATCTAAACTTCCTAAACCAGTAAGTTTTTATTGTTTATCTGCACTCTGAGCTTTACTATTGTATTATATTGTATTTTTTATTATTGTATTAGTAGTGTTTCTACCACTACAAAAATACAATTCCCTGTTATATAAGACATGTCAACTCGATTCTATGTTGGGGTACCTTTTCATAGATGAAGGTTGACATTGTCGATAACACTCTCCCTACATTGGTGATTATAGAACGTGATGTGAACACGCCTACTTCGATGGATTGTCCACATTGAAGAGTTGACTTACTACTTGGGACTGCAACATTATCCAGCTCCTCCCTCTGTTGCCACTTAGTCTCGATCACACGCAATATATTCACTCGACTGCTAAAGGCAACGCAGGAGTGACCACGACCGTGAACTTAATACAGCCCTGACGATCAGCATTCAAAAGTATGGTGATCTTAATACAGCTCTTCCAGCTTCTCACATAACAGCGATGAATCACCGATGGTATCCGTTCATCGAATTCTGTCACAAATGTAATTTTGGTGGGGGAGTACTGTTGTGTTTCTACCACTACAAAAATTCAATTCAATTCACTAGTGATGGGTGATTCTTTGGAAACGTGACAATTTGAAGAAAAAAAAATTCTTCAAATTTAAAGTCTTCAAAATAATCTTTTTTTTTTGTTGTTGTTATATTTAGTTACATTTATTAATATCTTACATAGAGCAGTGTAGTTTTTTGACATTTGCTCAAGAGAAAAAAATTAAATAGAAATTCACCAAATTTTGAATGGCAGAAAAATGACATATTAGCTTGTAAGTTAAAAACACAGTCATTTTAAGCTAATAGTAAGTAACTCAGCTTAAGAAACTCAAAAAAGACAAAGTTGAGAAGTTAAATTTAACTTTTTATGTAACTAAACTTCCAATTTTTACAAATTAGTTAAGTATACTGAAAGTGGAAGAGTAACACAATAAGATGGTTTTAAATTTTACCACACTTTAATTTCCAAAGAAACAGTTAAAACAAAGAAAACAAAAAAAAATTGTAAAATGTCATTTATCTCGAAGCTTTTAGAGGAAGCAAAATGTCTGGAAGATATTGGGTGACGAGCAAAAATTTTTTAATTTATGATATTCTAAGAAATTTTGACAGTCTTTTTTCCCCGGGGCACTTAAAGTGATTAGCAGTCTGTTTGCCAATCCGGTAATATAGTTAACTTTCATATCTTTATGAATGACTTCAAAAACTTCTACAATAAAAATGATCATCTTAGGAATTTTTTAATTAATTTTATAAAAATTTGCATTAAAATTAATTTTATTATAATTTACATCAGAAATTTTTTATAATATTATTTAAATTTAAAATATTTCAAAACATTTTATTTTACAACTTTATTACATTCCTTAGTTTAAACACCCAAGCAACGTTTAAAGACTATGACAGAATTAAATTGTACAGTGATGTTCTTAGTTTATCCTTTATATTTTTAACTATCTGTGTTTTAAAGAAAATTAACCTAAGCCCTTTCGGTTAGATGGACAATGATTTGTTTAAATTAATTCTTTTATCCACTGTAGAAGGAATCAAAAATGTTTTTGTTGTTGGTATGTACTGAATAAAATTGTGTATAATAATCAATCATTAAATAAATAAATAACTTTAATTACATGCAAGCATATTACTATCTTTCATAAGCTGGGTATTGTTAGTATATGCTTTCCCTCTTTACATTATAGTGTTTAAAAAAATTTCTTATAACTATGTTAATGTCCTGGAATTTATAAGCCAGGATAATGACAATTTTGCCATTTTACAGCATTTAACATTACTTTAATTTAAAATTTTGGCCTAAGACGTTTACTTTCGACAGAAAACATGAGGATTTCTTGAAATAACTAAGATAAATGTACATAGTTTATAATTATTAATGATTTCAAAAGGACAGGAAAATGACAACATAAAAACCTTCTCACCTTGTAAAATTTTTTGAAATACATTTTGATTCAGAAAGTTGGTTCTTTATTCCTGCTATTAGACATGTTCTGATAGGATGGTATTCTAACTAATCTCTTAACCTAAGATATTTATTGCTGGGGCTATCTTTTTTGGTTATAAATTACTAAAAAAAGTGGATTTAACTTTGAACTGTACAAGATTTATAAACAACCCGATATTTTTAAGTACATAAAATTAAATAGAATGAATTGGGTGGCTCACATGATTTGAATGAGTGATACAATGCAATAAAAAAGATGCTGCTTTTTAAACGCACTGGGGGAAAAAAACCAGGGGAAGGCCACGTTTGAGATGGTTTGACTAGGTGGAGTCTGATTTTCTTGCAATCAATTAAAAGAATTAGAGACCAAAGATTTATCTGAAAATCTTCAGAGGAAGGCATTGGCCCACATTGGGCTGTCTGGCCAACTATGATGATGATTCCATTGCCATTTATGTACTATCAAAACATTATCAGATTGTAGTTTCATAAAACTTTGCATTAGAACCAGTTGCCATTTTTGTATATTAGTAACTAATTAGAATCCACCTATTTATGGGTGGGTTTTTTTTTTCAATATAAAGGTAAACAGCAACTAACTAGAGCTGTGGACATGCTTGACTTCCGGTTAGAATGTATACAACTGCTTACTACAGTTTATTTTCTTAGGCTTTATTTTCAAACAAATAATTTTGTTTTAATAAAAGAAATAAATTGTATATAATATAAGCATAAATCTGCTGTATTTCGTAATACTATATTAATGATATTAAGTAATTCTGGGGAGTTAAGTAAAAAATTTATTTTAATTATTCCTAGATATGTTGTTCAAAACGATGGCATGGTTGCTAGATTTCGAAAGAACTCGCTTTTTTTTTCTTACTGTCCTGATTTGGCCTCTTTTTACTTGCTTTATTACTGTTTGTATTTGTTGCAAGTTGTGCACCATCATACTTTACTGTTAGCACATTGTTGAACCTGCGAGACTAAGCAGGGTATCCGCGCACCTGGAAAGTCATGAAAAATCATCGAAAGTCTTGAATTTCGGTATAGAACTAAGTGTGTCATGAAATGTCATGATTTTAACTATTTTTTTTTTTAAAAAAATCATGAAAAGTCATGGATTTAGGTCCCCGAAAAATCTAATTTTTAAAGTGGAACCTCTCACCCCCTAATTTCATGGTGTACTGAATAACAAAATCCCCAATCACAGTCATATTTTACTGAAATATAAAATATTTTTATCATGTTCTTTAAAAATTATGGTGTTTTTTCAAAAAAATGAAAGAAAAACCATCATTTCTGGAGCGGATTATCTTTTAAACTTCTGTAATTTCACAATTTTTATTATTATTCATTTATTTTATTTTATCAATTTCAAATTCTAACTGAAGCAAGCCAGTCATTGACGAATTTTTTTATTCCTAAATGAGAACAGAAAAATCAAGAGTATTTCTTTCCTTTCCGATGAACTAGAAAAGTATCTTTAGAATAAAGTTCTTAAGAAAAAAAGAAAAAAAAATTATTCTCTTTCTTTACTCTGTTTTTTAAATTTCAAATCTATAAATATGAAGATGCAGAGTATAACAGTTTTGGTTATACCTGTCATTTCAGTTAATGCTTTTGTGAATTTATTGTTGTGTTTTTGTTGGAGTAACTTTGTTAAGTCACCAAAAATTCTTGGAATTAGGCATGGAAAGTCATGAATTTGAAAATCAAAATGTGGCAGATACCCTGACTAAGTTCATTTTACAAATTATCATTTATTCATTTAGTTAAATTTTGAAGTTTATATATTGTTGACAAGGTAATAAGTGTTTTATAATGATTGTTCTTTTTTGTTGTTACTTTTGACATCAACTGTAACGTAAATATATCAAATAAAGGTTTTGAGAGAGAAAATATTTCTATCACAATGGATAAGTAATTATCACTTAAAACAAGAAAAGTAAGAAAAAATGGTGAAAAAAGCACTTAAGATTGCACAGATTTAAATAAAAATTCTTCAAAATTTTTAAAAATTAACTAATTTAACATGAAGTAAATATGAAAAAGAAGTAATTTTTGGAAGAGAGACTGTGAGAAGGTAAATGCTCTATCCCCTGAGCCACCACGACTTACATGTCACCTTTTAGAAGAATCTGTTAAAAATTGTTGGCCTGTCAAATAAATTGAAGCAGTCAAAAGATATTGCTACTATAAACAGAGAGTAGACTTGCTTCACGGTCAAAAAAAAGAACAATCTTGAGCATTCCTTGAATTATTACTTAAATTATTGCAAATTACTTGAATTATTGCAAATAAGCAACAAAATTTGACTGTTGTTTACTTTTTATGTATTTTTTAAGCAAATGAAGCTTTTAATCAGATAATATCTTACTTCCTCAGTTTCTTGTAATTATTTAATTAACATTTATTACGCATAGTGTGGAGTTTTTCTTAAATAGTGCTTAACGGTGCTTATTTTTGTTTTTTTAGAAGCTCTTAGAGGTGCTTTTTTCATTAGGTGTTTATAAAAAGTGCTTAATTTTCCCTTTTCGAAAATGAAATTTTTCTTCTTCTTTAACATGTGGATTTTCGCCACGTGTTATGCAAAGGCATGCTTTTCACATTGTTCTATTCAACGTTTTCACAATCCATTTTGGCGTCCTGTCTGTCTGTAGTGTATAAAAGCGCCAATCATTTTACGTGTTTGATGAAATACTTATGAGTTCGGTGAAATTCAAGCACTCTCATGTGCAACTCTGCTGCATTTTGCAAGATATTCCCCATTTTAGGCTTCACTTTCCACCCTCTGAAATCAAACCTAAAAATCTTTAGATCTGTTTATGTTGGCTAATATCATCAAGAAAACTTATTTTTGCCAGAAACTAGTTATTTTATCATAATCATATAAAATCTGAAAATTATTTTGCATTTTGTTAATGTATATAAGGCTTAACAATATTTTTGGAGTGCTTAAAAAGTACTTAAAAGTTGCTTTTTTTGTTTTAAGGATTTGGCTACGCACCCTGTCACATGTTGCATAGTACACCCATAAAATTACGACATTTATTTTTACTTACTCTTTGTTTAATTACATATTTCTGACTTATAAAAACTTGTTTCGATTCTAATAAAGCATTTGATGTTAATGTATATACAGCCTAAAAATATTTTTAGAGTGCTTAAAAAGTACTTAAAAGATGCCTATTTTTTGTTGAAGGATTTGGCTACGCTCCCTGTTACATGTTGCGTAGTACACCCATAAATTACGACATTTATTTTTACTTACTCTTTGTTTAATTACATATTTCTGACTTAGAAAGCATGTCTCGATTCTAATAAAACATTTGATGTTTTTGTAGGCGAATGTGTCTGGCAAGTTTGAGCTGAAGGTGAGTCGAGCAAACATTCTGGAGGACTGTTACAGAATCATCAGTGCTGTCACCAGGGTGGAACTGTTGAGGACAAAATTGTGGGTGGAGTTTGATGGAGAGGAAGTCCTCGATTATGGTGGTGCCTCCAGAGAATTGTTTTTCCTTCTTTCAAAAGAAATGTTTAACCCTTACTATGGATTATTTGAATACTCCGCTGTGTAAGTTTGATTCTTACGTTTCAGTGTTTTCCAATTTGCTCTCTCTCTCTCTAACCTTAGTCACCCCCTTGGTGCTACACCAGGGTTGCTACTTCGCAGGGAAAACCTGTAAAATAACTGGGAAAATGCAGATAATCTTGATTTTCTTTTCTAATTGGGACAATACAGGGAATTTTATTTCTTACTTTTGTCTTTTAAAAAATAGTGACCTCTCAAAGCACAATCTATGGGACATTCAATGATGATATTTCAGCCAGGGTTGGGTTTTTGCCGTCAGAAACTGGTTTTTGGCATGACAGTGGTAAAAACCGTCAAAAACGTACTGTTTTCTTTAATTTATGGCATATAGCCGACAATATATTATTTTCACATAATTGCCTTTATAAATGAATGTTGTAAGTGATTTCTATTGATTTTGCAACTATATACATGTATTCTTATACATTCATATAGAAATATTGTAATATACTTATTGAAAATAGTGATACTTTACTTTTATCATTATAGCTTGATTTGCAAAGGATTCAAAATTTTGCACTTCTTAATTGTTAGAAATAAACAAACAAAAAAAGCTTGGAACTATTAATAAATTCAAGAACTGAAAAGAATTTTGCTTTGATAATTTGGCATTTCTTAAATATTAGAAATAAGCTAAACAATACTTTCAAAACTTGTAACAAACTCTAAGTCAAGAATGACTTGGCATTCTTCAGTAATGTAATATGCCAAACAAAATGATGCTTGGAAATGTTTGAAATTTTGTTTAGTGTACCAATATTTTACTTCAAATAGTATGTTTTGATATAATCATGTTGAGAAATGCAAGAATCTGTTCTTAAATATCTTTTAACAACTTTTTTTTTCTAATTTTATTGCCCAAAAATGAATTAATTTAAATTATAAGCAATTAATCTCAAATAAAAATACAGTTTTTCCAAAACTATGGATTTTTGATAGAGGGGTTTTTGACATGACGGTAAAAACCATGGTATAAACCGGTAAAAACCGTTATGTGTCAAAAACTTGCCAACCTTGATTTCCACCATCTATTATATATAATTCTCTTACGTGGCTCCCAAATTNAAGTCAGAAATGACTTGGCATTCTTAAGTAATGTAATATGCCAAACAAAATGATGCTTGGAAATGTTTGAAATTTTGTTTAGTGTCCCAATATTTTACTTCAAATAGTATGTTTTGATATAATCATGTTGGGAAAATGCAAGAATCTGTTCTTAAATATCTTTTAACAACTTTTTTTTCTAATTTTATTGCCCAAAACTGAATTAATTTAAATTATAAGCAGTTAAACTCAAATAAAAATACAGTTTTACCAAAACTATGGATTTTTGACAGAGGGGTTTTTGACATGACGGTAAAAACCATGGTATAAACCGGTAAAAACTGTTATGTGTCAAAAACTTGCCAACCCTGATTTCAACCATACTAAACTATTTAATTTACTACAGCATTATTTGTTTTAAGTAAAGTCATGGTGCGTACCGTTTTTGAAAAGTGTTTTAAGGTGCTTTTTTTCCTAATTTTTTTTAAAAGCCTTTGTAAGTCCTTTTTTTATTGAGTGTTTTTACAAAGTGTTTAATTTTCCCTTTTCAAAAATGAGATTTTCGTTCTTTACCATGTCCATTTTTACAACTTATTATGCAAAATCTTGGTTCTCACATTGTTCTGCTCAAGGTTTTCACAATTCCTTTAACCACAATCCATTTTGGCTTACTGTCGGTCCATAGCGTATGAAAGCGCCATTTATTTTACATGTTTGATGTAATTCTTGTGAGTCCGCATGTGCATCTACTGAGCTGTGTTCAGTGAGATTCTTGCACTGTCATGTGCGACTCTGTTGCATTTTGCAAGATATTCTCCATTTCAGCCTTCATTTTCCACCCTCTGAACCGGAAAATCTCTCCATATTTTTAAGGTGGCTTTAATACAATCAAGAAAAGAGTTCTTTGTACGAATCAGTATTTCATCATGATCTTGTAAAGTTTTGGAACATTATTTTGTATTTTGTTAATGTATATAATGCTTAAAAATATTTTTGAGTGCTGAAAATGTACTGAAACGGGGCTTATTTTTTTGTTAAAACACCCTGAAAGTTGTTCAAAGTTTTTCCAGCAATTAAAACTAGTATAGCTAGACTAATATTGGTCAATTAATAGCACAGTGATTGTGTGTTTCCTTTTATTTTATTGTGTATAATATGTACAGGGAATATTTTTTCCAGATTTGAGTCACAGCCCTGTACACTGCCAATTACCAAATCAAAAATATGTAACATAGACTGTTCCAAAAATTAAATAAGCTAACTAATATTGTGTTGTATGACATTCTAAAGTTGTCCAGAAAATTATACATAATTGTGTATTAATTCTTAAAATACACCACTTAATGTATCCTGACTAATTATTTGTGAAAAAAATATTTTTTTATTGATTCAATAGAACAAATTTAGAGCTTCATCACTCATATAATGAGCCTGACCTTATTTACTTTATTAAACAACAAAGAATAAAACAGGCAGGCCACATTAACAGGATGAATGAAGACTGTACCACAAAAAGAGTTTTTAATGCCAGATCAGTTAGCGCACAAAAAAGAGGCAGGACAAATTTGATTAATATATAGGTGGCCTAGAAAAAAACCTTTTAGCATTAAAAACTGTAAAATGCTAGCAGGAAAAGGTTAGCTTGGGAAAAACTTCTTGAGATGGCCAAGGCCCACCCTGGGCTGTCAAGCCATTGATGATGATGATATGCAAAAATGTAAAAAAAAACTTTTAAATTCTCTTTAAAATAATGTTAATTACAAAAATTCGACAATTATTTTTAAAAATTTTGCTTTGGAAATTTCGGAGATGATATCTGAAGAGAGACCACTATGTCAAAGAATGAAATGCGCTCATATGCAGTCCTTTCTTAGATCCCTTAATTTAGCATGGATTAGAGACCCATGGATTAAGCGACACGGCGACGTTGTTGCAGAACGTCGCCGTGTTTCTATTGGGATAATATTGGAGTGTCTATATTTTGTAATATTGGTCCTAGAAGGGCTTTCAATAAAGAACTAATATTATTTTCTATACAGGACCCTTATAGGCTTATAAAGTTGGGTAAATATTGGAATGTGTTTTTAATGTTGGTCTTAGAATGGCTTTCAATGATGGACCAATATTATTTTCTATGTCGGACCTTTATAAATTCATAATGTTGTGTAAACTTTGGGATATTTAGATTTTTCAATATTGATCCTAGAATAGCTTTCTATAATGGACCAATATTATTTTCTGTACAGGACTCTTAGAGGATTGCAGTATTCGGGGTCTATATTTTGTAATATTGGTTCTCAATAATGAAGTAATATTGTTTATTAGGGTTATGTTTTTATTAAACTGCTGAATGTATAATGGTTTATATGTTTTCAGAGATAATTACACCTTGCAAATCAATCCTGCTTCTGGAGTTTGTAATGAAGAGCATATATCTTACTTTAAGTTTATTGGAAGGGTAGCAGGCATGGCTGTATATCATGGAAAACTCCTCGATTGTAAGTCTTTTAAAACATATTTATCATCTACTCAAGGTTTGCTAATTATATAAATGTTATCGTTAAAGTATGAAATCCGTTATTTTATAGAATACCTAGTTATTCCATGAAATAACTGATCGTGTCCATTAAAGTGTAAAACTCTCTCGTATTTCATGGTTTAACTACTTATTTCATAGAATAACGATCTGCAGCCCGTTAAAATGTGAAATAATCTATATCATGTATCTCGCACGACAAATACAATGTTCTTTGTAATTCTAAGTAATGTAAAAAATTTTCGTGTAAAACCCAGTATGTCAACAAAAATTTTTTTTGTTTTAGAAATAATGTTCTTTGTAATTCCAAGTGTCATTTTAGTAATCCTTGTTGTAACAAATGATTTTATGGTACGTTTCCATAAATACCATTTATACGCTGCATAAATTAGATAAATTGCTTCTTTTTCATTTTAATTGTCTATCATTAGTTTATTTATAGAATACCTAGTTATTTCATTTTAGATAAATTGTTTATTTTACACTTTAACTGTCTCTCATTAGTTAATTTATAGAATACCTAGTTATTTCATTTTAGATAAATTGCTTATTTTACACTAACTGTCTCTCATTAGTTAATAGTCTCATTAGTCTCTCATTAGAATACCTAGTTATTTCATAGAATAACTAGTTAAAGTGTCAAATTAATAACATATTACACACTTTAACTGACATGATCAGTTATTTCATGGAATAACTAGGTATTCTATGAAATACCTGCATTATATGCTTTAACATATATATATTAATGTATATATATAATTAGTAGTAAATATTAGCTTTACAAAGTCTTTTCTTCAATTTGCTGTAAAGATTAATATGAAGTTTTTTAACTAAAATGTTAAGTATTTAGAGGTAGCTCTATGAATTTTAAGTTTATAAAAGTTAAATGGCTATTTTAATGTATGTATTTGATGCTTTAATGCAGTGTTTCCCAAAGTGTGGTGCGCGTACCCCGAGGAGTACAGGAACAGTTTAGCGGGGGTATGCGTTCTTATCCAAAATATCTTGTAACAAACAAAAATTTTGTTTCAAAACAAAGCTAGCCATGAAAATGTACGATTAGGTATTTTTCTATTAGCTATTTTTTGCGGAGTTAACAGTTAATAATAAGTGGTGTCAACAGCCAGTTGTGATATTTAACTTTTGTGCAATTTTTTTATCCTAAAAAATACATTCACTTTTTTATTAGTGGTACGCAGCATTACGAAAAATTTAAAAAGGGTACACAAAAGTCATAAGTTTGGGAAACACTGCTTTAATGTTAAACACTTGATTTTGTTTATTAAAAATAGTGCTCTGGGCTCACACTCGTGAGAACGGAAATTCAAATCCAGTTGGCCGAAGACTCCCCGTGTAGTAAATGGTGGCTGGCACACATTAAATCTGTTGGGTCACAAAGTCCTTCATATTCCAATAACAAATTTTACCTATGGGGGTACTGAATTGGAGATTGAGCTTTCTCTCCCTGTAAGCAAGTGTGGTAGAAATTGAATTCTTGGCCATAGATGGCGTCACTGGAGACAAGAACCATCACACCCCTCATCTTCGATGACAACAACAACAAATAGTGCTGAATCTACTATATTAGAATTTTGAGAAAAAACTTTTAAGGCTTAGAGGCAGCTCTATTGATTTTAAGTTTTTAAAAGTTAAAAGAAATTTAAGACACCTTAATATAGACATTTGCTGAGTTACTTTTAAACAGTTTATTTCATACTTTGATATATTTTTTATTTTGCATCAAACGATAGCTCATCACGACAGTACTCTATTGCATTATTAGCTTCGCAATGCATCCATTCTATAGGACTTCAAAAGCAGTGCATAATAATTACTACATAATTGTAGAGGTCCCATTACCTCTTTTGTATAAAGTCATAAAAAGATAAATATTGTGTAAGATACATCAATTGCAGCAATTCTGACCTAGTCTTAATTGATAAGATGTTATTTAGCCTAACATTCATTACAGTGTCACTGAGGAAAACATTGTTTTCTTGATTTAAAAAATGACCCCAAAAAATGACCAAAACATCGAGAGAAAAATTTATTGCTTATAATAAAACTTAAAATTATTTCAAATGCACTGAAAAAAAAATCATCTCTCTATCTGCATTTTTAAAAAAGTTATGAATGATTTTAGATTGCCCTAATACCAAAACTTGTTCAGCAGACAAACTGTAAAGTGCTTTTTCTCATCGATGATAATTTTGAGTTTTAATCTTAATCAAATCCCTAAGGATTTTTTTCTATTTAAGATAAAGTTTTGAAGTAAACTTTTTTATCTTAAGCACAATACACTTAGTTAAACTGGGCATGGAATAAACATTTTATGAGATATTACAATTTTTACAGCATGTTATATATACCTAACAGGAATTTTTTNAGGATTTTTTTCTATTTAAGATAAAGTTTTGAAGTAAACTTTTTTATCTTAAGCATAATACACTTAGTTAAACTGGGCATGGAATAAACATTTTATGAGATATTACAATTTTTACAGCATGTTATATATCCCTAACAGGAATTTTTAACCTTTTTTTTTTTTTTGCCACTTTCTTACAAAATACTTTGTAAAAATTATTTTAATTGTTATTTCAAAAAAGTGAATGCACAAAATTGTTAAGATGAATATTGTAATCACTAAGAAAAAAACATTTTTTAAAAACCGTAAAAATAAAAAAGCCTTAGAGATTTAAAAATTTTGAATTTTTTAAATTTTTTTTTAAAATTTTAAAAAAATTAAACAGTTTAATTGTTTTTTGAAGATAAATTATTGATTATAATTTAAATGAGCATGTAAAGCACCCACAAAATGAATGATTATATCTTTATTTAAAAAAATTGTTGCAAGGATACTGTGACCCCCTAAAATGTGAAGTGTACTTGTATTCTTTTTAAGGTTTTTCATTGAAATAGTTTTTTTTTTCAGTAAAAAAAAACCTATGTTGAACTGTTTTGTTAAAATCTAATGAATTTAATGTCTGGCCATTCATCTGGAGTAGCGACAGTCTCTATAATTACCAGGTTTAACCATTTCAGGTAGGGGTGTCACGTCATTATTTAAGACAGAGTTTGGCTAGGGTGGGCGAGAGAGAGTAAGTCAGTTGAGAAAGAAGACCTTAAAAATGCGCGATTTCTTGTTCTCATAGCAGCAGGCGGCCTTAGACTTCGTGGATCTTAAAAACTGGGAAAAAAGTAAAAGCTAGCAGGAAAAGGGGTTAGCCTTGAAAAAAACTTCTTGAGAAGGCCCAGGCCCACCCTGGTCTGTCGAGCCATTGATGATGATGGTGGTGGTTAATCATTGTTAATCTAGGTTTTGATTATTAGATAATAAAATGTTACCAATTTTGAAAACTAATTTTTTCTGTTCTTCCCACTACCGCACATCATGAATATTTTTGTGTAAATAAAAAGAGAAAAAGAGTATGAATGAATGAAATTTTTTTGCTTTACAAGAAGCTAGTCGAATGTTATTTCTTTCAATCTGTTTGTGTATTTTTGTTAATTGAAAGGCCTTCAGTTAATGTTCAGTCACGTAATTAACGTAAAATTGCTCTTCTTTTTAGCTTTCTTTATTCGTCCTTTTTATAAGATGATGCTTGGGAAACCTATTAGCCTTAAAGACATGGAATCAGTGGTGAGTTTTTCTCTCTCATACAACACTGTATATATACCTATTTCTTGTACCATAGTCGGTCGAATGACCAGACTTTATGTTTCTTGATTGAATGCGTGAAATATGGATTTTAGGAAAGAAAGAAACTAACAAAAACTTAATTATACTTAAACAAAATTGTATATTGCCAATTTTTATGTATTACAAACGAATAAGAATTTTTAATTCATTGCTCAACACATTTTTTACATATAGGGGATTGTCGGGTATTCCCGCCCACTGTCAATTTCATATGTATAGAATATTTTTTCAAGTCAATGGGCCATCGGACATTAATTGTTATATTAAAAAAAGATTATTTTCAAAATTTCAAGTATTTATACAGCTGGTAACATGGTGAACAATAGTTTTGAAAATATGTTGANTGAATGATACCTCTATCAGCTAGTCATGAAATTAAGAAAAATTGGTTGAATGTTTCGATTAAACTTCATTTTAATACTAAAAAAATATTTTTTTTCTATACGTACAGCATTGAAGTATGTAGTCTTAAGTTTAATTTGCACAAAGAAAGAAGTTTATATGTGAAAAATTGTTCGAGTAATTACAAATTTACAAAAAAAAAAATTGAATTTCGGGTAGTCCCGCTCACATGAATGTCGGGTATCCCCGCCCAATTTTATTTCGCCAATGAATGTACGGTTGCAAAAATTATTATTTTATTGGTTCAAATTTGAATGTTATATGCATTTTTAACAACAAATATTGTTGTTATTTAATGATTGTTATATTATAAACAGC